ATTTATACCTCGATTTTTTCATAAGGGCTTGCAAATACTTCCTTTCCTTCTCCCAACTTGATGGATCTCAAGATCACCGTCTACTAATCAGCTCCCAAAATCTCGATGTGTTAATTGCCAGGCTCAAAACTAAATCTCTTCCAACAAATGCTATCTTACACAATTGTAAATTGATACAAAACCCAAACTGCCCGCACTGCGGAGGTATCAACACAAACGATCACTACCCCCTGGAATGTCCCTCATTCCAGGACGCTCGAATAGAACATTACCATTCCTTATCGCTTCTGAATCCAACTTATACCATATCGTGAAATTGTCTTTTAGTCCTCGGAAGTCCCGCAGTGGACTGATCGTTAAGACACGGTTCTCACCAGATCACCAATGTCAAACATCACTGGCTGCTGTTAGTGTGCGGATGGGTGACAACTTTCATTAGTCTGCTTAGGGACCGAGGGTGTGCGGTAGTGGTCCTCGTTAAACTATTCTACCTCAAAGTGCTCGACTTCGCATGCAGGCCGTAGGGCTACCAAAGCAGGGGAGTCATCGGCTCTACAGAGGATCCACAAACCTCTTCTGAATTTTTGCTATAACCTCCAGCTATCAATTAAGCCTCAACCCTAAACCAAATTAATCGAAATACAGAGCTATAAGCTAAAGCATAGAGCTCGTTCATAGAGCTCGTCATAGAGCTTGGTTCAAATTTATAAGCCTGGGTATCCATAATCTTACAAATGTAAAGTGAATTACCATCGTTGTAATGGAAACGATATAGAAAGCGCTTTAAAAAAATTATTTCCACGCAGATCTAATTCTTCTTTATGCAGAAAAAAAAAATCGATGTGAATGATAAAATATCTTCTTGCTGACAATAAATAAAATTCATATTTTGCGTGCATAAATCTTTCTTTTTTTTTAAAAAAAAAAAAGATAGTGCTTTCTACACGGTTTATATAATTAATATACTATTCATTAAGTGTGTGTCATTTCTTCCTGGCAAAAGGCAACATTCTATGTTAGCAGTAACATTCTATGTTGTGATACTAACAGCAAATACTATCTGTGCAATGTGTGTCACAGTTACAAAGATGTTCTGAAATATTTACACCTATATATATTAAAATATTTACACCTATGGAAATTTAATGTCTGTACTTTGTGTGTTCATAAATTTCCAAGTGTAGTTCATGATTATACTTCTTTATTGTGAAACATTTAACTTCAGTTCTGAAAAGTGTACAAAAAGAGGTAGTTTCATTTAATTGTTTTGAGATCATAATGTGAAAATAATTTATTCAGTGCATTATTAAACTGTTGCAGATAATTAAGATGTCTGTCACTTTCATACAACACATATAATTTGATATTTATACACAAAAAATTTAAATTGTGATTTTCCTGTTCATACTAAGGAAATATTTTCTGTATTCTGTGAAGGCAATTTAATAGAATTAAACTTTTTTTGACCCTCCCAAATTTCTTTTAAGTTTGTGAAAGGGGGAAACAAAATTTTTTTTGCTTTTCTTCATTTATAATGAACTATATTTCTGCAGTGTCTGTTTGAATAAATAACTATTGAAATTAAATTGGATAATATCATGTTCAAAGCAAATAATATCATTGTTTATTCATGTTTATTTTTATAATATGTCTTCCTAATAACAAATAACATTAATGTTACACTGTCTTAAACTGCATTCATTCACAGTGTATTGAATTTAATTGAATCTAATACATGAAGTTGTACATTATTTCTGCAGTTTTTTTTTGTGATAAAAAAACATAAAGTTAAATAATTTAGTTTGATATGTTCAACAAATTATTAAAGTGTTTGTGAAAAATAGAAAGTATTTACCTATCAATATAATTTAAATTAATGTTTTCACATATGCATCTATTAATAAATCATATGCCTGCTGTACGGTTTTTATACTATTATATTTTACTTAGTTAAAAATTTAGTCTAAGTAAGTCACTTGATACAGAATGCTCTTTTCTGTATCATGTTATTAAGGGCCTAATTTTATTCAGAATACGTATCATCCTGTAAGTAAACCTTATTGTTATTCTAACAAGAATTTTTTAGGAAAAAGTCTGCCTAAACACTAAAATTTTTACTGGTGAAATATCTTTTTCTTGTAGTTCTATAAAATAGCGGTTTTTCGAAAAAAGGTAGTCTGAAAAAACACTGTCGTGTTCATACTTTCTTCTTGTAGTATATGTAATAAGAGTTTTTCAGAAAACAGTAATATGACTAAACACAGCTGTGCTCATACTGGTGAAAAACCTTATTCTTGTTGTATATGTAATAAGAGTTTTTCAGAAAAAGGTACACTGACTAAACACAGTCTTGTTCATACTGGTGAAAAACCTTATTCTTGCAGTATATGTAATAAGAGTTTTTCAGAAAGAAGTACACTGGCTAAACACATTCTTGTTCACACTGTTGTCAAGCCTTATCCTTGTAGTATATGTAATAAGAGTTTTTCACTAAAAAGTAAACTCACTACACACAATCATGTTCATACTGGTCAGAAGCCATATTCTTGTAGTATATGTTATAAGCGTTTTTCTACAAGTGAACATCTGAAAAAACACAGTCTTGTTCACACTGGTGAGAAGCCTTATTCTTGTAGCATATGTAATAAAAAATTTTCGCAAAAAAGTAATCTCACTACACACAGTCATGTTCATACTGGTGAAAAGCCATATTCTTGTAGTATATATAATAAAAGTTTTTCTCTAAGTGCTCATCTAATTCAACACAGTCTTGTTCATACTGGTGACAAGCCTTATTCTTGTAGTATATGTAATAAAAAATTTTCAAAGAAAAGTTCTCTCACTACACACAGCCGTAATCACACTGGTGAGAAACCTTATTCTTGTAGTATATGTAATAAAAAATTTTCACTGAAAGGTTCTCTCACTACACACAGCCGTATTCACACTGGTGAGAAACCTTATTCTTTTAGTATATGTAATAAAAGTTTTTATTATGGTGGGGATCTGAATAAACACAGTCGTATTCATACTGGGGAGAAGCCTTATTCTTGTAGTATATGTAATAAAAGTTTTTCTTATAGTGGGGATCTGAATAAACACAGTCGTATTCATACTGGTGAAAAGCCATATTCTTGTAGTATATGTAATAAAAGTTTTTCTCTAAGTGCTAATCTGAATCAACACAGTCTTGTTCATACTGGTGACAAGCCTTATTCTTGTAGTATATGTAATAAAAGTTTTTCTTATGGTGGGGATCTGTATAAACACAGTCGTATTCATACTGGTGAAAAGCCATATTCTTGTAGTATATGTAATAAAAGTTTTTCTCTAAGTACTCATCTAAATCAACACAGTCTTGTTCATACTGGTGACAAGCCTTATTCTTGTAGTATATGTAATAAAAAATTTTCAAAGAAAAGTTCTCTCACTACACACAGCCGTATTCACACTGGTGAGAAACCTTATTCTTGTAGTATATGTAATAAAAAATTTTCACTGAAAGGTTCTCTCACTACACACAGCCGTACTCACACTGGTGAGAAACCTTATTCTTGTAGTATATGTAATAAAAGTTTTTCTTATGGTGGGGATCTGAATAAACACAGTCGTATTCATACTGGTGAGAAGCCTTATTCTTGTAGTATATGTAATAAAAAATTTTCACTGAAAAGTTCTCTCTCTAAGCACAGTCATATTCACACTGGTGAGAAACCTTATTCTTGTAGTACAGTCAACCCCACTTAAAGGAATATCATTGGTTCCTGCCAACTCTATTCCATTAAGCGGGTTAGTTGATTAAAAGGGGAGTGCATTATTTAATCTTATATTTGAACAAAATTTTACTTCTAAATGGTATTTAATACATAGCTGTATAATGTTTTGATTAAATAATTATAATTAAAACTATCAATATTAGTATCATTGAATATGAATCTCATTTAAAGTAATAATAAAATAAATCAATGCTAATGAAAAATATAATATATGTACCATATTTTATTTTATTTGAAAAAAAAATCTGTAATGGAACACTGTTTTGATATACGTTTAATTGAACATTTCTCTACTTTTTTTTTCCAAGTTGTACAGTACATTATAGTCCCCTCTATTACACCATACTGGTGAGAAGCCTTATTTTTGTATTATATGTTATAAAAGTTTTTCACAAAAATTTTGTCTGACCAAACACAATCGTGCTCATACTGTTGAGAAACCCTATTCATGTATTACATATAATAAGAGTTTCTCACAAAAAGTAATCTTACGGATCACAGGTGTGCTCATACTGGTGAGAAACCTTATTCTTGTAGTATATGTAACAGGAGTTTTTCATTAAGACTTAGTTTGACTCAACATAGTCGTCTTCATAGTGGAGAGAAACCTTACTCACGTAGTATATGTAATAAAGCTTTTTCAAGAAAGAATTGTCATGTTGTTGCCATGTCACAGTCATGTTGTTGCTATTTAAAAGCCATATTCTTTTTTATGTTAAAAGTTTTTTTTTTTCACTTAATGTCCATCTAATTTATTGTAGTTTTATTCATACTGGTGAAAAACCTCATTTTTTTATATATATAAAAAAAAGAGAGTTTAATTTTTCAATAGCTGACTTTAATGTTTGTGTTTTCACTGGTTAGTATAATAGAACAAGAGTTTTTTTCTCAGAAATGTCATATGTCTAAATACAGTATTGTTGATAGTAGTGACACACAATATTTTTGAAGCATGTGATAAAATAGTTTTTTAAATAATAGGGATCTAAATGTTAGCATTCATGTTCATATTGGTTTTAATTTACCTTGATTACTGGATTATATTACTTTTTTTTACAACCAGTTATGTTTGACTAAAATATAAATTGTTATTTATTTTCTTGCCGAGTTCAAGTTAATGTTTCATTTAATGAAAAAAAATAAATGGCTTCTAGCAACTTTGTCATAAAATTATTTGTAACATCTTTTATTTAATAAATCTTTTCTAACACATGTTGTACAATTATTTTATAAAAATAGCTCTTGTAATTGTATTACTGAATGTTTATTTTTCTTTTAAAAAAAGACAAGGGGTGAAAATCCCAAATTAATCTCTGAAATTACTTTTGGTATTAATATTTGTAATTAAAATTTAACTAATTGAGAAAAATTTAAGTTATATTATCGGGTTGTTCAGAAAGTAATTTGGTTTTTCCGACAGAGGATTTAATTGTATTTTTTCGAACCCAACTTCACACTTAAGCCGCTTTATCGTTATATATGTTTTGAGAGCAGATATCGTGTGATAAAGTTCAATTTATTCTACGTAGTAGTATTTAGTTGGTGCCCTTTTAAATATGGAGAGCAATAAGCAGCATTTTCGTCATATTTTACTTTTTTACTACAGAAAAGGTAAAAATGCTGTTCATGCCAGAAAGAAATTAATCGATGTGTTGACAGTACGCCAATGCCAGAACTGGTTTGCAAAATTTCGATCCGGCAATTTTGATGTTGAAGATGCACCACGTTCTGGAAGGCCGGTTGAAGTTGATAAAGGCATTAGTTGAGGCAAATCGGCGAATTCAACTGTTTATGACCACTTGAAAGGCCTGGGTTTAACCTCGAAGTTCGATATATATCTTCCTCATGTTCTCACGGAGAGAAATTTGTGTCGTCGCGTTCACCTCTGTGATTCGCTTCTCAAACCTCACGAAAATGATCAATTTTTGTAGCGCTACTGGGGGCGAAAAATGGGTTATCTATAACAATGTCAAACGCAAGAGATCATGGGGAAAAAAAGATGAGCCGGCTGCACTCACGGAAATGCTCACGGTTTTGGCACCGCTTGGCATTCTTGGCGGAAACTTTTAAGTCAAACCTGCTCTGTCGCCAAATTGCTTTTGCGTAGCGTTTATAAACAAGGGATAGAATTGTTTTCACTATTTTATTAAAATTTTTTTCATTGTTTTTGTGTTTTCATAAGATCATGTAACTCAAATATTAAAACACAAAATTCTCTTTGCAATATTTAGTAATAATTTTAATTAAATCTTTCAAATTTAGTTTTAATCTGAACTTCTAAGCTGGAATTTAATTTTAAAATTTTATGACTGTGAAGGGCATTGACCTGATGACGTATTCTGATACATTGATTGTATTGACTTGTTTGGAGTTTTCTCAGAAGTGTTTTTTATTTTCAATTTCTTAGTTAAAAAAAAATAATAATTAAATAGATAAATGAAATATTATTTTTACTGATTTGATTTAAATTTTAATAAAATCATTTTATCGCGTTTAAAGTTATAGTTTTTTTTTTTAAAATTAAACTCCAAATTTATAATTGAAATGCGTGCAATGGAAACTAGTGTTATACTTGCGAACAACTTTTTTTCGAGTTTAAGTGTTGTTAATTATGATGAAAGTTGACAATGTAATTTTCTCTATAAATCAACTATAGATATTTTTTAAGATGCAAGCAATCACGGTGGATAAAACAAATCAATTAGGTTAAAAATAGCATAAATGCTAAAGAACAAATAAAAGCAAAAGTTCTCTTAGAGCCCTGAAATATAAATTATATTTTACTTTTATATATACTTAAGTTCAGATTGGTCTAATCAAACTGAAGAAACAGAGAAACTCTTATGTCAAGGAACTGTAACTAATTTTATTATACATGTTTATTTAAGTTTTTAAAACTATTTACAAAAACATCTGAAATATATTTCATATTAACAAAATAGTTCACTGTTGCATTCTAAGGATAAATTATTTTAATTGTATAATTTGCTTTTGTAGATCCATTTCCTAAGATATTCCCCAATTAATTATTATTTGTGTAGAAATATCGATTTTTCTGTGAAGTATTTCTTATTATTTATTTTGAATCTACCATTCATTTTTTTTCTTATACTATTATATAATATCTTATTTAGTAATGTTATAAGAAATGGCAAAATTTTTAGTCGTATAATTATAAAATAAAACTTGGTTCTTGTACTTCATCACTTTTGAAATTGCATTTGAGTAAAATAATGTTAAAGTAAATTTGATCGGATTAAAATTAAATAAAACTTTTTTTTCTGAATTTTTATAATTTTTGAAACTTTCAAAATATTGAAGTAGTGTCATTAAAATCTTCATCTTATTGAAAATGAATAAAATAATAAGGTTAAAGTAAAGTGCTGCGTATGAGAATGAAATAAACATTTTTTTTTAAAACTTTTATTACTTTTGAAACTGCAAACAAATGACTAAAATGATAAGGTTAAATTAAAGCACTTTAAATGTATTAATTGCTTTCTCAGGTCTATTTTTTCAGATCTATCTTAATTTATTATTTGCGTAAAAGTATCGATTCCTTTGTGAAAAATTTCTTATATATATTTCCAATTGAAAATTATCACCTTTTTCTGATTAAATGTTTTATTTGAGGAAAAACGATTTAATAAAATCTCCTCCATCTGATAAAGCAAACAAGTGAGGCAATTTTTTTTAACTGTATAAAGTTCTTCTTTAACTCATTTCTCAAATCTATTATAGTTCATTATTAGCGTAACAATATGTATTTCATTGTGAAGAATTTTTATTATGCATTTGGAATAAAAGAATTTATTTTTCCTAATTACGCATCTGAAATGCTGAATTTAGCGATAAAAGCAATTTTTGCAATGTACTGCAATAAAAATACCTTATATAAAATTTTCTTACATTTGAATTGGAAACTGAATGCAATATGCTTTAGTATATAGTGAACACACAAGCCTTTATATATATAGCATAGTAAAGAATGGTAAACTGTCTTAGCAAATAGATTTAAAAAAAATAATAGATTTTACACTTTCAAGAACAATAATTAAAAAAAAGAAATTGAAAAATAAAATATTTACAAGAATCTATTTTTAAATAAAATTCTGAGACATAAACATTAAATTAAGTATGAATTTTTCATTCAAAACGAAAACCGCTAATAAAAAATACAATAGCGGTGTGAAGATAGAAGTGAATAAGAATGAAATTTTTAACTAGAATAGAACCCATCATTTTCCTACTCAACGTAATAGGGTTGCACGCTGTAGCAAGATGTGACGCATAGATTGGTTGGGTTACCATATTCTCAATTTTGCGGTTTTCAGAGAGCTTATTCTCGACCGCGCCAAGCGGTGCCAAAACCGTGAGCATTTCCGTGAGTGCGAACCGGCTCAAGTCATTTCGAAAGCCAATATCCATCAAAAAAAAGGTGATGCTGTCTGTTTGGTGGGATTTTAAAAGAATCGTTTTTTTTTTTTTAGCTTTTACTGGATAACACAATAATTAATTCGGAAGTCCACTGTCGTCAGCTGGACAAACTGAATTTCTTTCTGGCAGTTAATTAATCAACATAAAAGGTATAGTGTTCCAAGATGATGCGAGTCCTCATTTACAAGTTTGGTTACTTGCCAAAAACTTTTTCAGCTTGAATGGGATACACTGCCACATTCACCATATCTTTTGACTTCGAAATTATCTTACAAGTAGAAAAAAATGGTGCTTTTTTTCTAAAGTTACTAATTTAACTTAACTTCATTCTCACGAATGTCTAAATTTACAGAAGAAAGTAACGTTTTTTTTTAAACAAAAAAATTTAATGTTGAAAAGAGTTCTTTTTTTTTTCTAAAATTACCAACATAACTTAATTTTCACGAATGGCTAAATTTCAGAAGGGGCGCTCGAAGCACGTTATTCACCCTTCAATTAAATTTCAGAGGTAAATAAAGTTTTTTACTTAGAAAATCACTTCAAAGTTGAAAAAAAAAGTTTCGTTTTCCTCTAAGTTTACAAAAATTTAAATTGACCTTATTTTTGTGAATATCTAAATTTCTGAAGGGCGAAACGCATTATTCGCCCTTCTATTAAATTTCAGAAGAAAATAAAGTTTGCTCTTGCTTGCATTGAAGAAAAAAAAGAGTGTTTTTTTTTTAAATTATCAATTTTACTTCATGCCTTTATATTTATTATAGCCTCTTACTTTAATTTCAGAAGAAAATGAACTTTTCTACTTGGAAAATAGCTTCAAAGTTGAATTAAAAAGTTTTTTTTTAATTTTACTATTTTTTTAATCGGAATTTTACTTGATTTTATTTTCTCGAATGTTTAAATTTCTGGAGGGGCGAAACATATTGTTTGCCCCGTCACTAAAATTTCAGAGGCTGGCACGCCACTGAGTATAATAATTTCAGTTGGTCGACTTAGTGTTTTAAATGTTCTAATGACGTATAACAGTTTCTCATTCGCAAAAATTGTTTCTAGCGAGTGACTTTGTAACCCTTTGCTTTCCTGAGCTTAGTATGTGCCGTTAAAAATTTCTCAGAAAAATTGGTTAAATAACAATTTATTAACTAGGTATTTTACCTACCATATTCAAACAAAATAGTGAAATAACCATAAGTAAAATGGTATCCAAACTGTTATCTGTGAAAAAAAAACCGTTTATTAACTCCTTTCACCTAATACGATTAAACAATAAGAAATTTAATCGCACCAACTAGACCAACCTAATGAAGCTCCTTACTGTTGGGTACATATTATAGCCGAGGAGGCTAATCTGCCAGTCTCATGGCCGTAAGAACGGGGTTCGAGTCCTAGCGTTGACACCACACCATAATATTTTACCCATTCCTTTTAACGCATGAAGAGTTTTTAGTGCCCTGCACTCCTCAATTCGTGACCCTGGGCTATTAGAATACGATACTCTCATTCACACATTGATGGCAGCATCATAAAGCTGCTAAACTACCTAAAATTTTTATTTTTCGGTTTTGAAACCATGCTACTCGTAAATGGATACAAAAACCTGTACAGTTTTAATTTATTTATTAATAAATTTTTTTTAAACGACCGTAATAGTCGTAAACGGTTTCAAAACCGTAAAGGTAGAAAATGATCTTTACCGTAAACTTTAAGCTTAATAGGATTTGCAGAATTCTGTTGCCGGTTATTTCACCATATTTTGAGAATTAATATTCTGACAAAATGATTAAGGCCGTAAATTTGATTCAGGGGGAAAAAACGAGTTAAGAAGGTCATATTTTGAATGATAGTGAGTAACCTTTGTCAATCATCAGTTGCTTAATTAAATCAGCCAAAATATTCAGTAAAACTGTTAACCAGCTTTTGTTTTTAGTACCGTTTTAGATACCAGATTTTATTTAATCGATCTTAATTACGTTCTTTAATACTAGGTACAATTTAATTTCCCTGAATAGCAAATTTTCAATAAGTTTGAAAGTTTAAAACTTCTTACTATGTATGAAAGCAAAAATCTTTCTGGATGTTAGTTCGCTAATAACTTGAAAGCGAGAACACCGATTTGGACCGTTGTTCCCTCTCCCCGCCCCCAATATCTTTAAGGGGTGGTTTGTAAACAATATTGCATAATATCGAATATACGAAATTTTATAAACGAAAACCATTGTTATAGATTAAGACAAGCATTGATAAAAAACATTTTTGTATCCATGAAAATTAATTTTTTGACAAAATATTCAAAAATCCTTAAAGTTTGCTGCACTCTTAATTTAAGTGCTGAAATAAAGTGTGCTAGAACATAATTATCGAAAGCTAACATAAATTGAAGATGTATTAAATTTCACAGTCAGAGGTTTAACATAAATAGCTCATTCGTCCAAACGGCAATTCAATTTCAAGACATTTAAATTTATTAAATTATATTACAAAAACATAAACTATTAATAATAATAATTAATTGTTCTCGTTTTTTTTTTATCACAAATTTTAATTTCCCAAACTTTATGTTATTATCTTTTAAATGAAAATTTCATAGAAAAATCAGCACTTACCGGTACCATGATGCCAAGTTCGCCAGCAAATAGAACAATCCAGGTTCTGATTTATACAGGTTAACGGTTACCGAATAATACATATAGGTGCATCGAATATGACAATAACGCAAATATTGCACAAAGCGATAAATATTGAATATATGCTATTGTAAATGTTACTATAAGTTTTATTTAGGTAACAAAAATATTGACACCAATGTAGAAATGAGATAAATTGGGAAAAAATATTGATAAATCTTCGCAATATTAAAAGTAGCTCTCATTAGTCATGTGTGTTAATGTTTGTATGGGTGACAATTAGTTATAACCGATGGGAGGTTGCGTACCAGCAGCAGACAGATGCCCTAAACGTACATAAACTATATATATTTGAGTACGGGTAAGTTTCAACTTCTCGCTCTCAGTAGTACGAAGAAAAAGCTTTTAATAGCAAAAATCTTTCCTCCAGTTTGTACGGTCCCGTGATAGCTCAATAGTTAAAATTGAAGGTCATGGACTGTATGAAATAATTAACAAATATTTATTTAACAAAGGTATATAATTAGTTCACGCATGAACTTACATTAGAGAGCGACCATACGCTCTTACCATTTCTATCAACAAGAACAAGAATGAGTAATTTAAAGGGTTACATTATGATGAAAGATGGCTGGCGACATACAATCTCGCCAAACGGTAATTCAACACCAAACACAGTCTAAAATAAAACTGGTTGGCAATCTAAAGTCTATTTTAATTACCAATTAAGCGTGTTGAATAAATATACAGACTGATTTTAAATAAATACTAATTTACTTGGTTTTGCTATTTTTTAGTTTTTGAACAGATTTATTAAGCAGAATTACTTTTTTAAAGTTTATTTTTTGCTTTAAAATGTATTGTTTGCTAACTAATTTGTTTTTTTTTTTCTTCTTTTAAATTTAAGAAATTTATAACAGTTAAAGTTCGTTTCGTTTTGTTGAAAAAATTTTTACACATAAAATTTATTGGCAATTATAGCAAATAAGTGCAGTTTGATTTTTCTGAGTTTCTCATTTGATTTATTATTCTATGAAAGACGCCATTGAGATAAATAGCATTTTATTTTCTGTGTGTTAGCATTTGTTGTAAAAAAAACAAATAACTAATTCACCGTGATACCATACAAACATATAAAAGACAAAAATTAAATCCACTCCACATTTGAGCAATATGCAAGTTTATTGTGTTTTTTACATATTGTCTAGTTTTTTGACTGATCGATTATTAATCTCGAAATGCCTGAAATTCTACTTATTCAAAAAGACGGACCAGCTGCTCCTTGAAATGTGTTCGTTAGTCTATTAATGAAATCGTTTTTTACCCCTCTTTGTTCTGTATTACCTAATTAGATAGGACGATTTCAAAATGTAAATAATAACTTGATGCGCGTAGTAAAATTAAATCATTTATTGTTACAATTAATAAAGAGATAATTCTAAGTTTATAGAGCTGAATGAGCTAAAAAGTTTAATGTCATATCTGAAAAAAGTTTAATGTCATATAGGTGGAAAGTAACACTTTGAGGGCCACTTTCACATTCATCAGATTTTGTTATGCTAGAAACGTTTTCTTCAACGGAACTATCATATTTCTGTACAACAGAAAAACTTACATTGGTACTAGATGCTGTCACCTCACTAATTTCAGGTCGTGATTTTTTCTCAAAATAATTAAAAATTGCTAAATTCTTTCGTTAAAAATAGTTAAATCCTAAAGATCCAAGAACAGCAAATATATGTATATATTGGCTTAGAAATATCCGCTATGACACGATCTCAAAGTTTCGAGCTGGAATGAATAACTTCAACGAGCACAGTATATCTGGTATTGTTACTGATTTCTTCACTAAGTCGAAATACTGCGACGACGGGTTCGGTGATTGAATGAACTTTTTGTTAAGACAAAACAAAACAGATTTAGCGACAAGCTCCGAAAGACAAGTCATTGGGGCTCTATGCCTAGAATTATTGAGGTACCCGGGTCCTCCGACCCTTAATCCTCGTTAATAACAAGAATAAAAATGACATAACTCAAAACAGGCAGAGATAACTCTTAGTCTGACTAACTAACTCCACTGTACTCCGTTCCCCCTTTTATATAATTTTTCACCGCGTCTCCAAAATTCTCGAATTGTCTCAAATACGACAGAACGTCTAGGATTCCAGAATCATCGCGTGAAGATCTCGCGAATGACAGCCAGTCTCGAAAACTATACTGGCAGGACAGAAAGGAACCAGTCCATAACAGTATCACGTGAATTTGGTTTCAAAAGTACAACCCTATTATAGTAAATGTTTTTTCAGTATTCTGAGAAATACCGTGAGAAAAAAAAAGTAGGCATAAGGTTAATAAAAATATAATAGTCTTAAAAAATAATAGCTCACATAATTTCTACTAAAATTTTTATTTTTGCCATTTTGTCTGAGCTCAAGGGGGGTGTTTAAACCCCTCCCTTGCGTACGCCACTGCTCATAACTCTATAGTGTATTAATATTATAATCCTTTCCTTACCTTATTTTGTTTCAAAACTAGCCATTTCTAAAATAAGCATTTGTTTTTTTCAATCCATTGAAGGAAAGACTAGAACATTTCCAAACGAACTATCAAAGGTGAGATGAAGTTGCAAAATAGCTCTATTTAATTTTTTGATTCGGATTTTTCTGCTAGAATCCTGTGCTTTTAGAAAGTTGTAATTTTAAATTTATGAATTAAAAATGTTACTGACTCAGTCTTTCAAAAGACTTTAATGAAAGATTTCGTTTTAATTAAGAAAAAATCTGTGAAGCTTTCATCTTTACAATCAGAAAATGATGCAAAGGGTCTATTTTTAGTATAAAATTACCACTGATGTGTTTTCCCTTCCTGTTAATTTAAAAGGAAAAATCACATATTGGAAAATAATTTCAGGTTACATTTTTATTATCTAATAATTCCAGGAAAAAATTTCGAGGATGGGCCTTGTGCCGAGCCTTCTCTAGTATTTATCCAGTTACTAGCTCATCCAACGTAAAACAAAAATTTTACTATTTTTTTTTTCGGAAGAAAATTATTATTAGTCGCATTAAAATTTATTAATTTGAAAGAATAACTCTGTTAAAGAATTGCAAAAAATGTAGAATAAAACCAATTGCATCAAAAACTTTATTCAATTTTTATTCCATGAATAAATTAATACAAATGAAATCACTATAATGCAACCAAAATTAGTTTAACATGTTCCATATTCCAATCTACAAGTGAAAATGAGCAAAAGGAAATCACGTTTCTGCAATAAAAATTAAATTATCGAATAACATTTATAAAAAAAGTACACTTGTTGAAAAATGTTATACTTAATTTTGATTGGCCAACGGAAAAGCCGCCCTTCCTTACTTCAAACAGGATTGGATAAAATAACTACGTCATAAGCACCTCCTACTTATAAGCACGCCTCCATAAGAGAGTTGCGGTTTCACTCACATCTTTTATTTTGATTGAACTACTATTTGGTTTAAATTACATATACAGACCTGTCAACTTCAGAAATTCAAATAGTCACAGACTTTTGGTGACGGTCATATACCGCAATAAGAAAAACAATAAAAAGTAATATATAAATCAAATTCACACATTCTTCAAATTAAAAATATATTTAAGTAATTCCCTAAAAATTAGTGACTAAGAGTGAGTTACTGATAAAAAATTTTAAAAAAAAACTTGACACAAAAATATTAATGAAACTGTTTAGTTTGATTCCCATTCAACAAATTCTCCAAAGTTTGTTTTGACAAAATTAAGTTTGGATTTCTGTCATGTGGTTGAATATAAATTCACCGGTCGCATTGCTGTAAAAAATAGTTAATACAAACAGTATGAACGGATGATTTCTTTCTTAAGACTAATATCCTAATTCATGCTAGAATGAAATAGCTTCAGAATATCGGATATACCGTACTCGTTATATCGAGCTTTCATTTACTGTATTTACAGATCAGAAGTAAGGCAAAACGTGATTAGTGACATCATTTGAACAACCCCTTAATAACGATCGAAAATTTGTTATAATAAGCGTTCGAATTTTCCGTATATCAAGAAAGAAAAAAAATATCTAAGCTAGCTTCGTTTTACTCACTCAAATTTCATCCATGGCCAAATATTTTGTCGGAGCAAGCAATTAAAATACGTTTCATTTCTTAGTAAAGTAGTGTAGACTGATTATCCTTGAAAACCACAATTTTGCAACTGTTATTAGCTTGCTTTCATTTCCGAATACTACAAAAGAAAATAATCTGCTGTTTTTATTAGTTTAAATATTTATATATTCTACTCCTATTTTTTTAAAATATTTATTATCATTAATACAAAAACATATCATTGCTTCGTTATTTTTTATGCACATATGCATGCAGCATACTTTATGTTTCTTATTTAGTTCGCAACTTTTAAATATTTTTTAGTAGAAAAATATATTATCATAAATGTTTCATGCTCTCCTGAACTGATAACTAAATTGATATTTGATTACTTGAATTTAATAAGGTAAGGCAATTCTTCCACTACTAGAAAACAGCAGTAATGCGAAAGCAGTATATTTTCATACAACTGACTCACTATTAAACTCGCATTGCGAATTCAATATTTAAAATTAAATTTTTTATTAGCATATTAAATGGACCTGTATTGTAGAAGCATTATATTCAACTATTCTTAACATTAGCAAATTTTTTTAATGATTTTCTTTTGTTAAGTGAAATTGTGAATTGATAGTTAAAAAAAAGTTTATATGAAGTACTTTTAAACTAATTTGAATTTTGTCCATTTATTTTGGTTTAACTGGAAGATATATATTGATAAATGGTATAATGAAAGCTCGGTTAGAAAGGAATATATTTTTTAGAAACTTTGTATACTGTATATACGGGACTTGATTTTGTCAATGCTGCACTAAAGCTACAATAATTCAGTTTTTATAAACTTAAGTTCCCCTGTGCATTAAAATTTTCTGAACTATAGGAAAACTTATATCTTTATAATCTGATCCTCATTAAAGGGAAGCTTATCGTTAAATTGAGTCCCAAAAAATTTTACAGGAAAATATAGATTCCACTGGAAACTTTTTAAGATCAAGCTGCTTAACTTTTAGAATGTTGACCTTTTCATAATAATTGACTATTAGTTTTTAAAAAAAATGTAAATTTTCCACACTAAATTCCAGTTATTAACTCAGAGGGAAAATAATTTTTTTTTTGCACAGTACAAATTTGAAAGAAAAAATCCCTCGCAATTGCAATCTTAAGGTTTGATTGATTTTTTAAATTTTCAAATACATTCTGTAGTACGTTTTTGAAGAACTGTCTTAGCTTTTATTGATGTTTGTTAACAGACTCAAGATTTCACAGTTAGGTTTTCTTACTTCCAACAAAAATTTGGAATATTATTTCAATTAAAAAAAATATATTTACTGTGATATTTTTAAATTGCAATTAGCTTGAATACTATTTAATGATCCATAACAGCCTGAAGTTGGGTCCTTAATTTTTTTTTTCTTGCAGTGTCAGGTGAAACTCTAGTTTTGTTGTTGGAAATTTTTAATAAGAAGGCAATTGATAATCCAAAATCTTTGCTACTAATCAGGCATGTTTTTCAAAACATACCTTTTAATATTAAGCAATAGTAATACTCAGTGATCCAAAATCTCCTTTATTTATAATTTTTAGGTAAAATATCGCTTTTAAATTAAAAAGTTTTGGAGGAAGAATAACTAAATTTCTTTTTAAAATTTAATGAAATATATCTAAAAAATTGTCTAATTATAAGTCTTTACTTAAAGAAAGTATATTTTAATGTTAATATAAGGTAGTCTGTACCATTAATAAATACAAAAACTAACGCATCTTTCTAAAAAAAATAGCGGTTACTGGCTCCCATAATATATTATTATAATAAGGTATTAGCCAAGAGCATTAAGAATGTACTAGAGTATTATAAACTTGCTAAGAATTACAGGCACAAACACAGCAGTTTTTTTATAAAAATCAAACAGTTTATTACATAGATCAGTTTTGCCCTTTGAAGTTTAGTACAGAAGTAAAGAATGACCTGCCAGATCACCAGATCTCTCTCCCATCGAGTATGTCTGGGATATGATAGGAAGGCGATTGCATCTGGTATGGAATGTTGATGACCTTGTTCGACAATTGGATCGAATTTGGCAAGAAATACAGCAAGAGACTATCCGGGAGCTTTATCGGTCCATGCCACGCCGTGTGGCAGCTTGTATCCAGGCTAGAGGCGGGTCAACACCTTATTAAACTTGTTACTGTAACTCTGCAATAAATGATTCAATTGTTCTGAAATTTTAATCATTTACTATTCTGTACATTGACTTCCTATCCACCAATTTTCGTTTCAATCGAACAACTCCCTCGTTGATTTTTTTGTTATAGAGTGTAATATACATATAAATTATGCAGGATATTTTTTTTTGTTCAGCAAAATACCTAGCACAATAAATCTGCCATAGAAACAATTTAAAGTAAGCGATTAAATAATTAAAATATTAAAATATTGCTCAACGTCCACTAAATTTCAACCCGTTAATTAAAAGATTTGAAATTACATTGCTTGTGGTTTAAGACAGTTAATTAATGTTAAAAATTTGAAATCAAGAAAAAATTACTATTACACAATATGGAACAATCTAACAGCACGCAGCAAGGCGGGTTCCCATGGAGGCTTGTGTTCATTTTGTGTCAAATAGCCATTGACAATATTTACTACCAACAAAGAATTTTACAGAAAAAAAATACAACTTATAACTATTATTAATAAAAAGATACTTACCAATTAATTGATTTTAAATAATTTCTATGACACCATACAGTAAATCCCCATTTATCTGTCTCCTAAATAACAATAAAAAATATTACTTAATACTTCTAACGCAACCTAAAGAATAATACTATGTATTATTAAAGTTCATTTAATATTTATAATTATTTAAAATTATGAAGACCTATAGACACTTATTACATTATATCTATCGTCCCTCCCCAGCTCGAGATCTAAAAGAAACATAAATGATGTGTAGCTGTAAAAAAAAAAAAAAAAAATCACGTGAATAAAAGGAATATAAAAATACTTTAAATCATTATGCAAATACATTAAAAATTTCTGCAGGTGAAAATAAAAAGAATTCTTTGAAAAAAATTATCAAAGAGCAGCGGTAGCCATAGCAACACATGCAATGACGACGCAAGTGCACTACTTACAATTACTCTTGAACACAGTTGAAAAGTGTGATGACGTCCAAATAAGATGCACACGGCATCAAACCCAAAACAACACCCATTTTGCTAATGGGTGATAATGTAGATTAAAAGCATTGGGGAGACTATTCTCACTAATTATAACTTTAGTATTCTTACAATAGGCTGCTGATAAATTTTTATCCTGCAAAAATTTTGGAGTTAAAAGCATCAATAATACTCTCATATAATCAAACCCTCACAAAAATCGATGAAGAGTTTACTAAAGTTTCAGTCATTCTTTCAGAAATGAATGGGTCTAAAAGCTTTATTTCATAATTAAACTAGCATTGATACATTACTTACCAATAAGAAGAACAACAACACTACAACTACTCCATTAACCTCTTTTATCTTTTGAATCAAAATTACTATTTTACATCCAGGGAAACCTATTTGTACCTGTACGTCGTGCCCCATTATGGTACATGGAGTCTCAAATACTTACATATGGAATCAATCATTTAAACCTTAATCTTGCAAAAAAAAAAAAAAAAAAAAAATCTGCTTACCTTCAGTCTTTTAATACAATTTTTTCGTCTTGCGAATTTTAAAACTTAAATCTTAAAATGCAGTAAAAATTACTCTGAATATATGTTACTATGTCTTAAAAAGTAGTTAAAATTCTAATAATTGTCTTGGTAAAATATTATATATACATATATTTCAGATTAATGTATTCAGCATATTGATATGTTGCAATCCTTAACTTCTGCCTTTCCTTCACCATGGACAATGTCTTAAAATATATTCAATACACACCAAAATATCAATAATAAAGAAAATTATTTTAAGGAAAGAAATTCTTTAAAAAAGTTATACTCATCAATATATGTTCTATGTATATATATGTCAGATTAATGTATTCAGGATATTTATATTTTGGAAAACTTACCTTTTGCCTTTCCTTCACCATAGACAGACAATGTCTTAAAATATATTCAGAACACACCAAAATATCAAAAAAAAAGAAAATTATTTTAAAGAAAGAAATTCTTTCAGAAAGTTATAATCATTAATAAATGTTCTATGTGTATATATGTCAGATTAATGTATTGAGCATATTTATATTTTGGAAAACTTACCTTTTGCCTTTTCTTCACAATGGACAATGTCTTAAAATGTATTCAATACACACCAAAATATCAATAAAAAAGAAAATTATTTTAAAGAAAGAAATTCTTTAAAAAAGTTATTATTATTAATAAATGTTCTATAGAAATATACTTCAGATTAATGTATTCAGCATATTTATATGTTGGAATCCTTACCTTCTGCCTTTCCTTCACCATGGACAATGTTTTAAAATATATTCAATACACACAAAAATATCACTAATAAGGAAAATTACTTTATATAAAGAAATTCTTTAAAAAAAGTTATACTAATTAATAAATGTTCAATGTAGATATATTTCAGATTTATGTATTCAGTATATCTATAAGTTGGAATAATTACCTTTTGCCTTTCCTTCTCCAAGGATAATGTCTTAAAATGTATTCAATACACACCAAAATATCAATAAAAAAGAAAATTATTTTAAGGAAAGAAATTCTTTAAACAAGTTATACTCATTAATTATTGCTCTATAGAAATATACTTCAGATAAATGTATTCAGCATATTTATATGTTGGAATATTTACCTTCTGCTCTTCCTTCACCATGGACAATGTCTTAATTATTCAATACACACCAAAATATCAATAAAAAAGAAAATTATTTTATAGAAAGAAATTCTTTAAAAAAGTTATAATTATTAATAAATGTTCTATAGAAATATACTTCAGATTAATGCATTCAGCATATTTATATGTTGGAATAATTACCTTCTGCCTTTCCTACACCATGGACAATGTCTTAAAATATATTCAGTACAAACCAAAGTATCAATAAAAAAGAAAGTGACTTTAAAGAAAGAAATGCTTTAAAAAAGTTTTACTCATTAATAAATGTTCTATGTATATATATTTCAGATTAATGCATTCAGTATATTTATATGTAGGAATCCTCACCTTCTGCCCTTCCTTCACCATGAACAATGTCTTAAAATGTATTCAATATGCACCAAAATATCAATAAAAAAGAAAATGATTTTACAGAAAGAAATTCTTTAAAAAAGTTATAGTCATTAATAAATGTTCTATGTATATATATGTCAGATTAATGCATTCAGTATATTTATAAATTGGAATAATTACCTTCTGCCTTTCCTTCACCATGGACAATGTCTTAAAATATATTCAATACACACCAAAATATCACTAATAAGGAAAATTACTTTATATAAAGAAATTCTTTAAAAAAGTTATACTAATTAATAAATGTTCAATGTAGATATATTTCAGATTTATGCATTCAGTATATCTATAAATTGGAATAATTACCTTTTTCCTTTCCTTCTCCAAGGATAATGTCTTAAAATGTATTCAATACACACCAAAATATCAATAAAAAAGAAAATGATTTTACAGAAAGAAATTCTTTAAAAAAGTTATACTCATTAATAAATGTTCTATGTATATATATGTCAGATTAATGTATTCAGCATATTTATATATTGGAAAACTTACCTGCTGCCCTTCCTTCACCATGGACAATGTCTTAAAATATATTCAGTACACACCAAAATATCAACAAAAAAGAAAATTATTTTAAGGAAAGAAATTTTTTAAACAAGTTATACTCATTAATTATTGCTCTATAGAAATATACTTCAGATTAATGTATTCAGCATATTTATATGTTGGAATATTTACCTTCTGCTTTTCCTTCACCATGGACAATGTCTTAATTATTCAATACACACCAAAATATCAGTAAAAAAGAAAATTATTTTATAGAAAGAAATTCTTTAAAAAAGTTATAATTATTAATAAATGTTCTATAGAAATATACTTCAGATTAATGTATTCAGCATATTTATATGTTGGAATAATTACCTTCTGCCTTTCCTACACCATGAACAATGTCTTAAAATGTATTCAATACGCACCAAAATATCAATAAAAAAGAAAGTGATTTTAAAGAAAGAAATTCTTTAAAAAAGTTTTACTCATTAATAAATGTTCTATGTATATATATTTCTGATTAATGCATTCAGTATATTTATATGTAGGAATCCTCACCTTCTGCCTTTCCTTCACCATGAACAATGTCTTAAAATGTATTCAATACGCACCAAAATATCAATAAAAAAAAGAAAATGATTTTACAGAAAGAAATTCTTTAAAAAAGTTATACTCATTAATAAATGTTGTATGTATATATTGAAGTCAATCGCATAAAATTATATTCATACAAGAAAGCAACATATAATTATCCACTTTCTCGATAAAGTTGTATTTTATTTTACTCTAAAAAAATGACATGCGGGAATGACAAATGTAAAAATTTTTATCGTGTTTGATTCATTCAAATTTATTCCACAGCAAAGCTTCTTTAAGTTGAAGATGGAAACATACTGCAATTTTGTTCTATGATGCCAGTTGTTAACTTCTGAAGTTTTTATTAAAATATTTTTATTCTAAGAAGATTGCAGGTGATAAGAACATTGTTGTGAGGGAATGACGCGAAACACTGGGGACAAAGTTTAAAATAGTGCTGTGTTAATATTTTTATCAGAAATTAAATTTAAAATTGATTTTCTGAATTCTATATTTCAGTATTCTGAAATAAAAAACACGAATTTGTAAAAAAAAAAAATTTATTTCAGAAACAATTTTTTTCTTTTTTTAAATCAGCAGTGGGGACAAGTGAGGGAATGACATATTGGTATATTTTAATTACCTAAAATAAATAAAAATTGATGATTTTATTCTTTTGTTAGCTTGCATTCTGAAGGACACTTTCCCTGAATTTTTTTTTTCCGTAAGCTGTAAAACAAACATAAAATATACTGGGGACATGAAAATGACTGTCTTTGTGAGAATGACTCATATATATATATATTTTTTTTTTCGGTGGAAATGTGTTATTCACCGAATTTATGACTTTATTGTATTTAGCAAGGTCTGAATACCAATGTAATTTTAGAAACAGATAGGCTTGATTAACTTTTACTAGTATAAAGTTAGAGGTGTTCATTTCCTTCGATTGGACTAAAAGCCTCGGGTACTTTAAATGATAAACTTTCATTTTTTAACACGCTTTAAACTTTCTTTTATCTATATGTCATAAAATGTTATGATAGGTAAACGAAAATATCAACTCAAATAGAGCTTTTTCTACCATTTACTACGTCTTGAGATTTTATAAATTTAAAATCACTCTTTTAATTAATAAATACCAATAATATTTTCAAATATTTGGAAATACGTTCTAATACCATTCATAAAAGTGAATTTACTTATCCTAATTTTTGCATTTGACTTGAAAATATCAATTCAAATCCATACATTATTGAGCTTCATGTTTTGAGAAAAAAATTTTTGTTTTGTGAATATTTAAAATTAAATCCACTTTACAACAAAAATTAAATTTTCAAACTTTTAAAAAAATTTTTTTTAGCCCTTATATGTCATTTATAGAAATAAATTTACTTTAAAATGTCTCAGTTATGTGCATACATATTATTTGAATGCAAAAAATCTGCTTTATATAAATAATTGGATTTCAATAATTTAGTAGGCAAATTTATAATATTTGCCCTAGTAAAATATTTTTCAGTGTATTTATTAATTGAAGTCATACTGACACTTTTTGTTTAAATTACACATCAAAATATTAATAAAAATGAGAAGTATTCAGTTATTTGTTCACATAATATTTTAGTGCAAAAAATCTGCTTAGCTCTAACCTTTTTTTTTTGGTCTTGTGAATCTTAAATCCTCTTTATAGTAATAATTAAATTTAAAAAAAAATTCTTTATCAGCCCTTTTATGTCATTCACAGAAAGAAAATTTGAATCTCTATAGTTACAACACTAAAATTGTCCAACTTCCTAAAATAATAATTTTCAATCAGTCTCTGTGTCATTTGTGCACATTCATGAGACAATTAAGTCTTTTAACTAAAATAATAAACATTTCTTTGACTTGAAGCTGCATGTCTTGAGAACATTTACAATTAGAATCTGTAAATATCAAGTAGTAGGAAAATATTTCATCTTCCAATTTAATTTTATTCATGCTTACTAAATTATTCATTGTAGTTGAAACAGAAAAATCTACTTACCTTTAATTTTTCTTTTAGCATTTTTGTCTTAAAAATATTAATAAATAAGAACCTTATGTCTTGGTATAATTTCATGTATGTCTAAATATGATTTGATTCAGAGAATATATTTACTACAGCTTCTTTTCCTACCATTTATTATGTGTTGAGAATATTTAAAAATTAAATTTACCGTATTTAGTCTATTAATTTTCAATCACATTATGTCTATACGCTATTCAAAAAATGAATTAACTGATTCTAGTTTATGAACATATTAAAATATTTATTGTAGTTATATTTTGAAATTTTACTTACACTTTACTTTCTAGAATGTTTAAAATGCACACCAAAGTATCAATAAAAAAGAATAGTATTAAACAAATAAATAAAATATGTCTCAAAATAATTTCAGTTATAAGCATACATACTGACTTTTTTGCCAAGGGAATTTTCTTAAGAAAATTTGCAATTAAAATTAATTTACAGTTTACTAGTGATAACACTTTTTAAGGATTTAAATAAATAATTTTCAATCACATTAAGTCTTAACATGCTACTCATAAAAATGAATTTATGATTCTAGTTTTTGAACTATGACTTAAGACATTTAAAACCACTCATAATAAAGATGTTTTAAATTTATTATTTCATACTAATAAAAACTTCTTAATGAGTCTCTATAATCCTATTAGTAGGAAGGAATAAACTTACATTAGTCAAAAGCAGAAAAATCTAGTCACCTTTTAATCTTGTTTTCAGCATTGTTATGTCTTAAAATGTTTATATAAAGTTTTAATGTCTCCAAAATACTAATAAAAAAGAACTTAATGTTTCAGTATAATTTATGTCTAAATTTGATTTTATTCAGAAAGTATATTTGCTACAGCTTTTTTTTCTACCATTTATTTAGTGTTTAGAAAGTTTAAAATTTAAATTTTTTACATACTAATGATAAAACTTCTCATAACAAAGATTAAATTTACTATATCATATCAATAAAAACTTCAACTTTTTAAATATAATAATTTTTAATCAGTCTCTATAATCCTATTAGTTCCTGTTTATAGAAATGAATGTACTTACATAAGTCAAAAGCAGAAAATCTAGTCTCCTTTTCATCTTGTTTTTAGCATTTTTATGTCTTAAAATGTTTATATTAAGTTTTAATGTCTCCAAAATACTAATAAAAAAAGAACCTTATGTTTCAGTATAATTTAATTTATGTCTAAATATGATTTAATTCAGAAAGTATATTTGCTACAGCTTTTTTTCTACCATTTATTTAGTGTTGAGAAAGTTTAAAATTTAAATTTTTTGCATATTAATGATAAAACTTCTCACAGATATTGTAAATTTACTATATCATATGAATAAAAACTTCCAACTTTTTAAATATAATAATTTTTAATCAGTCTCTATAATCCTATAAGTTCCTGTTTATGGAAATAAATGTACTTACGTTAGTTAAAAGCAAACATCTTCCTTGGCTTGGAACATGATATCTTGAAAACATTTAGTTACAGTCCACACATAATAATGTAGTTAAAAATCTTTTATTTGTCCCAATATAATATACACATTTATATACAATTCTTCATAATAATAAATAATATAATGTCTTTCATAAAAATAAATATTATTTTGTCTTTAAATAATTTATAAACTGAAATTTACTTAGAGAAAATGCACAAAATTTAGTGTTAAGTTTTCAACACTTACTAGGCCTTTCAGAAATTTTATTTACAAGATATCATGCTTATAAAATAGTCAAAATTCTTTAAAAAAAATTGTTTTCAATCAGGCCCTACATTTTTCTGAAACTTATTTCAATAAAAACAAAAATTCTATTTAGGCTAGTTTTTTACATGTTTTGTTAATTTAAAATTCATTCCATATTATTTAAAGACAAAATTCTTCCTCTATAGAAAAGAAAACATATTTTATTCACTTATGAAGCTATAAGTAAGAATTTTACTGTAGTTTAAAGCAGTCTACATAATATACTCCATGAGACTTAAAATAGTAAAAGTTTAAAACAAAATAAATTTACTCATTGAAGTTAAATACTAATTTGTATTTTCTTGAGAATGTATTTAAAATTATAATAATACTGAAACATTATAAGTTTATAAGCCTATATAATGATATTTTTAGCCCTGTAAATGTAAGCTAAAGTCAAAATTTAATCTTAATAGGTCAAGACTTTCTCCAGCATATTAATAAATTTCTAATTAATACATCCTTTAATAATATTTTATTGCCGGCTAAATCCTACTGAAAAATATAAATTCTTTAAATTTATGGAACAGCTGAATATCTATTTAGCTTTGGGTTAGCCTTCTTTGAAAATTTATCATTAGAGTTAGTTGATAATGCTTTTTATAATAATTAAATAACTTAGTAATAATTAATAGAAGAAGCAGAAAATTTACTTAGCCTTAAGCTTAGCATTTTCATTCAATGTCAATATGAACTTTAATTATGTTATAATTAAAATATTTACATACACTGTTAAGAATTTTCACAGTTTTAAAATACTAATAAAACAGTGAATATTCTTAAAATCTTTTTTTCTGATATCATCATACTTTTTCTATTCTACAAGCAAAATTTACTTAGCTTGAGCAAGAACTTTTTTAATACCATGACTTGAGAATGCTCTAAAACAGGGGTAGGCAACGCGGCGCCCGCGGGCGCCCCCAATCGATTTTTAATGCACCCTCGCTTAACTAATGTAAATGTATGATAGCCAGAGCGATTTACTTAACTCTTGTCAAACGGCGATATACAGCAAGTAGTCAGTTGAGTTTAGGATTGTGCATGATTATCTGTAAAATATGCGCCCTTAAGGACAAACAGGTTGCCGACCCCTGCTCTAAAATAAATTAAAATTCACTCTTAGTAGAGGTAACTATTTTTGAAAATTTTGTCTGCATTAAATTAATAAATTTGAATTCAGTTACTTTAAACAAACGGAAAAAACTTAGTTTTAGCCATTTTATATTATTTGTTGAATTTATTACTTAGAATTAAGAAGGTAGATCTTAGCTTTGGCTTAATTTTTGTTCACATCTACGACGAAACGAATGAGTATAACTGGAAAAAAATTTTTCTACAATTTAACACAAAATCAATTAGGATAAAATGTTCATTAAATGCAGACTTAATTAAAAAATTGATCTAACCTAGTTATATAATAAGTACGCGCCATAATTTAAACAATGGGGTACAAATAAGAACAAGCCATAAAAAAAATGCGCTTCCAAGATTGAATAAATGTCTAATATTTCTTATCAACTTACCTTTTACTTTAGCAAATAAAGGCCTCTTACTTTAGAATTTAGGTACTAATACCTACCTCAAAAAAGGACGCGTATGCATATAACATTCCTCACTTACCATAACCATCAGAACTTTTTCTTTGTAAAACTTACTTGCAAAGTTAGAATTTTTCTCATCAGTTAAGGGTACTACTTGCAATTTTTAGAATAAATTACAGCGAGATCTTAAATATCGAACGCTTAGCATTCTTCTTAACGTTACGGAATATCGCATTATAGGGAACAATTTTACCAAGCACCAACATGACGATAAGTATTTCATCTACGGGGTTCTCAATAAGAAGGGGAGATTGAAACGGCTACTGATTGGTTGACGGTGATATCATAGTAAATCGTAAATATCCTGTTTGCCGTTTCTGTGTTTTGTTGTGTTCCTTTTCTTTAGTTTCGTTATGATTTGACATATTTATGTACATTTAAAAATTTCCAAAAATAAATAAATAAATAAAAAAAAAAGAGTTTAAAATACTACTTAATATTTTAGCTTAGATTGTTGAATATAAATTATTATTTTACGGTAAATTTAAATAGATATTACCTTCAAGCATCAAACAAATAATATATTTCTTCAATATGATTTTTTTGCAATATTTTCAAACTATTACTTAAATTACTGAATGTTAATTAATTTCATTTATCCTTACATATTAATTAATTTTATATATATATTATTATTGCCCCTAAAATTTACCATTAATCAACAATACTCACAATTGCCTTCCTTGTTAAAATATTTGTTACTTTACTATGTAATATAGAAGGTATTATTTACTCAGAATCAAATCATAAAAAAGGAATGACTTATCTGATGAGTAATTTAATCAGCATTTTATCGTATAACAATAGTATATTTAAATTATTTTATGGTGAATTTAATTACAATTTATTTTCAAGAATCAAACAAACAATACATTTTTTCGAATCGGATTTTCTACTATATTATCAAACTATTACTGATAGAATTAATTATTTTAATAGAATTAATTATTTTCTTAAATTGATAGAATTAATTATTTTCTTGCATATGAATTCATTTTATTGAATTTATTCTTCCAAGTAAAATTTATTCTTTAATGTACGATTTAGCATTACCTTCATTGATAAGATATTTTTTTATTAGCATGGTATTACCAACTCAGAATAAAATCATAGTGAAGACAAATCAAATCAGAGTTCGCTACTATTTAGCATTTTTCCATTCAGACTTATTGTTTTTAAATTAAATTTTGTTCTTAATTTTTGTTTAATTCTATTTTTATACTTTGATAGGATGCTCAGAATCAAGTCATAGTGAAGACAAATCAAATCAGAGTTCGCTACTATTTAGCATTTTTCCATTCAGACTTATTGTTTTTAAATTAAATTTTGTTCTTAATTTTTGTTTAATTCTATTTTTATACTTTGATAGGATGCTCAGAATCAAGTCATAATGAAAAAAGTGGTTTATCTGCTTTGTAGCTTTTTGAATTAGTTATTTGAACAGAAGCTATGTTGTGTTTGTGCTCAAAAGAAAGAAAAATTGTATATGTCTGTCAATCGGTCTAAAAAACATTTTTTCATTTATTGTCAAAATTGAATTGCATGCTGTTGTAATTACGATGAGGTATGTGTTGCACTTATGAAAAGATATTGGAGTAAATCCAAAGGTGTTTAAATTAATTTTTTTTTATATATAGTGTTTTAAAAACTAAATTTTGAAGGTTTCTTGAATTTTTATCACCATAGTAAAAATATTTAAATCCGTTACCAATTTTTTTTTTCATCCTTACATAATTTCATGAAAAAAACTATTTTTAATTTTTGTTTACAGATTAACTTCACGGTGATTGAACTGCAAGGTATAAAAATATTTAAAAATGTTTTTCTAAATTATGAAAACTTGAGAAAACTGTTTAAGGGGTAAGGAAAAACAGTATTCTTAATAGGAATATAATTGACTTTATTATTATTTCAAAAATATTACACATACTTTTCATAACTGCCACTTGCAAATCCATTCAATTAAAATAAATAAATAAATAAAGCAGAAACCCTTAAAGTATATATTGTTAAAGCTAACTTTTACTTCCTTATCATTTTATAAGAAACTAGGTGGCCAAAATTTACTCCTTTTACATCCTTTATTTTAATGCTACCTATTAACGTTTGTCTCCTAAATGTTTCTAATTTTGAATGTATCTTAGAAAATAACTATTGGCAACGAAATACGTCTTGTAAATTAAAAGCCAACTTAGAAGACAAATACTGAAACAAACTCATGTTTGGTAGCAACTTTTGCGAAACTAATCGGCATCTCCGTTACAAAAAATAGAAAATCGTAATTCCATTCTTTGTCTGTATATTCCCAATTTTATTTTTTTCAACGGCAGCTTAACACTTAAACTCAAATCAAGTACAGAGGATAGTTTTTATTAGCAGTGCAGCTTTATGATTATTTAAATTGTTTCATTATTGTTTAAAAAATGTCTGCTGTAGTTTAAAGCGGAAAAATAGTTGAACAGTTAGGGTGAATAGTTTTTCACATTATTCTCAATAATATATTCTGTACTGATTTTGTAATCAAAAACTTTTTTTTAAAAGTGATTCAATTGAATCATGATTGCCAGGTCTATTAAAGTGCTAATTAGAAACTTTTTTTCCTCCCATTTATTGCTGAAGCATGGTTTTTACCATTTGTCTTCCTTGAAGATGGCCTTGATTTGTCTTCCTAAAAACCAAACATTCAATTCGTTTTTGAACACTTACTCTCTCAACTTTAGTTTCGAAAACAAACATCCTCCATTATTTTTGGTTTGCAAATCTGATATGTATAGTAAAAACAATCCAAAGCAATTTTCTATATTTATCTCTATATAAGTCAGTTCAGTCATAAAATTTCCGACTTCTGTTATAATAAAGAATGTATGGCCATTATTTAAACTAAAAAGATAAACGAAAGAAAATTCGTACCTAATGACTTTCAAACAAATCGGAACAATTGTTTTTGCTGTATGCTTTAGAAAACCACAACCACACCAACGTCTCAGATGTCCAACTCTTTACATTAATCAAAGAATGTACAAAAGCTAACAGTACTGTAAGAACTAAAAGATCTTATGCTTCTCATCTTTTTAAGTAGACCAAATGACAGGCAAAATAAATGAATTAATATTAAAAACAATAAATTAAATATTTGTATAATCTTATAGATTTTACCCTGTACATATTCCTCTATAAGTATATATTTTGTGTACTACATAATACATTCTTCTCTTAAAATATATAATACTAGAATATAGAAAATCGCTTCCATTTCTGAGAAGTTCATCAAATAAATTTAAGAAATAAGTAGTAAAAGTAGTAGCAAAATTTAAAAGTAAGAAAAAAACATTTTTAGATTAAAATAAACTAAAATAAAAAATTAATTTTATTTGCCAACATCTTCAGCTTTTATGTTGATATTGGTTAAGTTTATAGAAACATTTTCTTGAGCTGTTCTGTAACTGCTTGCGGAATTCTCCCTTTTAATTCCAATAGGTGTTAACCTAAATAATAAAAAAACATACGAATAATATAAATTTGATTTTAAAAACATCTGTACAGTGTGTAAAAAAAATAAGCAGACCACCTTGAATAACTTTTGTCAAAAGAACGAATCTTCAAGTTCTTCGACGACTCAATCTTAATAGTTCGAAGGGGTTACCTTAAGTATGCTAGTTAATTAGTGCAGATTAATGTAGATTAATTTAAATGTAGATTAACTTAAAAACACGATTTTTTTAAAAAAATCGACTGAATATTCAAACTATTTTGCTCAAATTTTGTATTTTGCTATGTAAAATTAAATTTTTTGAAATGATGTAAAAAATTTTATACCCTATAATTCAAAATTTCTCGACTATTATTAAATAAAATAATAAGTTTTTACTAAAAATTATTTTTTGCAAAGAATTATCTTCGCATAAAAAAATTTCATAATTATGTACGAAAATTTTTCCTTTCGCTTAAAAAGTTCTCGAAATGTGGCGAAATAAGCTAAAAATAAAATTAACATTAAAGAACCCGTACTTCGGACCACTCTCTAGGTCTGAAAATAACCACTCTAAACCTGAAACCAACCAATTGAAGTCATCAATTTTTTTTTTTTTTTACTCAAGTATGTTTAGCTAAATTCAGTATGTGTTTAACTAAATTTTAGTCACATATTTATGTTATTTTAATTGCAAATTAACAAGTTAACCCACTGAACTGAAATTAGTGTCTATCGTCATAAAATGGTTAGAAGTTTCATTTTAAAAATTAAAAAAATACCTCGCAGGTTCCTTATTGGGTTCATAAATTTCGCCGAAAATTTACTATCTGATAATACATTTGAACTTTATTTTGATTGATACAGGTAGTCTTATCAAGTGTGTTTACTTTATTGATCGATTTTTTCTGTGCAAAACGAGGCAGGGAATTTTTTTTTATTACATATTTAATTTAATCTACATTTATTTTTTCTTTAACTATACGCTTTTCGAAAATGGAATTGAGGAATGGAAAAATTGGAAATGTTGAACATCAAAAGTTTCTGCATTAACTTCTAGATTTAATGAGTAAGTTAAGTTGATACCATGTTCACACACTTAATCTATTAATGATAATAATTCAGTTGTGCAAAGGCATTTAGTTATCTAAATATGTTATCTCACGCACTTTTAATTAATTTTAGCAATCAAGCAATCAAAGTTTGTGTATGCATTTATTTATATAATAAGTTCAAGCACTTTTCATTGTGTTTATTGATAGGAGAAAAAATTATTTGAAATCAATAGATAGATATTTGTATTAAACTTATATCATTTTAATGTAGTAAATAATTGATGTAGTAAAATACGTTTTAGATAGGAGGAATGCAATCACATATTAAAATGCAATCTTGATGATTAGAAGATCTAACCTTATATTTGCTAATTCGTGAAAACGTTATTTTAAGTTACAAAACACAAACGTTTAAGCCGCTTAATGTCGGGTGTTTCACCAAACCTAGAAATATTTAAGCAAAACTAAAAGCTTTTGCACGCAACTGTAAAACTAGTTTATCTAAAGATCATATCATATTCATCATCATAGGAGAAATTTCTATGTGGTTATAAAAGTTTTTTAGAGTGCTAATTTTTTTCCCTTTTGATTGAAAGAATTATGTGAATAATGGCAACTTTTTATGCGCTCATAATGCGTTAATACAAAACACAGTTATAGTCTAAAATACCAAATTTGTATTTAAAAAATTCAAACTTATGATAGAATTAAACTTACGATTGGTTCAATCCATTTCGGTAAAACTCCAACATGAGGTTTCTCAGGTGGGGATCTTCTCCATTATCTCGAATCATTTCGGGAAAATTTCTATTCTTTCTATAAAAAGTTTATAATATCACATATACAAATCAAAACATAATTGTACATTGTACTACAACTTCTCAATCAGGTACATTAAGTATAATTTTGAGTTTAGAGGTTTTTAATCTGCTTTTTTTTTCACTCGTCATTTTATGATATTTAAATAGCTCGAATTTAACATGCATCAAGTTAAATTGCTCAAAGATGCAGGTTTCGAATTCCTTGACCAAGTATCTAGTGGTACTAAACATAAAGTTAGGGAAATTTTTCCTACTCTTGATTTAGTTATCCACTGAAAGTAAAATATTATCTTTAAAACACAAATTTGTGCTTTATTTATGCAGAAAAAAAATATTATGCGTGTTTTACAAACCATAACAATTTTGCAATAAAAGTTTTCATTTTGAAAGTTTTCCTTTTTTTTTTATAATATAAAAAATTCCAGTTGTATATTCCAATAGCTATTTCTTAAAAAAAAAATATATATATAATTTCTTCATAATGTATAAAACAAGACCAAGCGTTTGTGTTCGTTCATCTAGGGGAGAGTGGGGTCAATTGTAACATTTTTTGCTTAACTATTTTTAACTAACAAAAAATCCAATATATTATTAGTATTAATTGACAGACGAGTAAAGTAGACTATCCTCTACTAGAAAAAAAAATAAGTACCTTATTTTAAATGTTATTATATTAGTTACTAACAATTTTTGACAGTCGTGCACTTGTTACAATTGTCCCCACTTACGGGGTCAATTGTAACAGTTCATAAATTCAACTAAAACATAGTTAATTATACATATTATCATAGTTGTGATATATTTTTTTATTGATCAAAATAATAGTGATATTTTAGAAGTAAAAATAATAATGAGCAGAGACCTAAAAGGTTATTATGCTGTGAAAGGTGGCAAATAAAATAATGCACATGCAACATGATATAGGAAACTATTGGTGGTTCTTAAAGAGTTAAGTAATGGTTTGTAAACATAAGATTATTTATTTTCAGCTGTTATAATCGTCCCCAATACGCCATTTCAACTTCATTAGTTAAAAACAATGCTAGTTAATTAACAAAACTATTTTTTATTGAAATGTTAATTAAGGTGTCCACTTACATATTCGGTTAATAATTTTTATTTGTTTAAACAAAATTACTTTGTTACAATATAATATTCTAATACCAAAAAAAGTACTTACGTAGCGTGAAAATATCTTTTGTGATGTAACTCTTTCAAAAGTACATAAAAATGGTTGCCAACAGGGGTATGCATGTAGATTTATTAAATATATCTTGTGTGCCACCTAGGAACCAAATCTAGAACCCGAAACTCGAAATTTTTGCTCTGTTACAATCATGCCCTGTTACAATTGACCCCACTCTTCCCTTCTCATTCTCAAAATTGTGAACTGATTGTACATTCTCCAATATTATAATTATTGAAGTAGGATGTGTAAACTAAAGATCATGACACTGAAAATTGAAATGATTTGAAAACGATAATTTAAAAATATTCAATAATGATAGTTGAATTGATTTCGATAATGACGATATTGTAGAAACATTACTTTTTAATATAATAGTATTATAACGTAGAGAAGAAATTATGATTTTAGGTACACAGGACATTAAATAAAAATAATGGTTTGAGATTAGAAAAATATTTTACTATATGCTTCAATCAGTGATAAGGTTTAAAGAAACAGAAGAAATCATATCAAACCTAAGCACACTGACGTATAAATCATCTAATAAGATTTGAACTCCCAGCACTTTCTGAAAATCATAAAAAATTGAATAAATAAGTGAATAAATAACAACGAGTATTTAACTTACATTCCTAAATTAGACTGTTTTTTTTTTGTTGAGCGAAATGCATGCAAAATTAAAAAAAAAAATTCAAAATGTTTTAAAAATTAAAAAATATAAAACAATTTAAGGTTACGTACTTCTATTATATCGTCAGTTTCTTCAACTCGAATTTGGTATACCCGTCTAAAAAAGACATTAATCATAATCAATATTAAGGACAATTAACATCAATAAATTTCAATGTAAAATAAGAATATTTTAATTAAGAAGTAATATAGAATGTTATATAGTTGAGAAATATTAACGTATTAAATTTCGATTTTTTAAAAACAGAAGAAAAAATAGGGGGGAGGGGAATGAGACAAAACAATAGTTTTACTTTGACGGCTGACCAAAGATTTTTGATAAGAAAAAAATAACTATTTTCCAATTTATTGGAGAAGTTAAATCACTTGCCAAACCTCTTGATTGCTTCTCGTTCATCATTATTTTTCTCCCTTCAAAGTTGCTATTTTCCACAAAAACTAAGAACATAAATGTTTTTAAAAAATATGTAAGTATAGTAATTTTATATTAGAGCATTTTGTTAATATGTTAATGGGGACGAAATAAATGATAGCCTAGCTTTAAAACATAATCAGTTGAACTTTTAAAAAAAATTCACTTAAAGTAAACAGATGGTATGATTCAACAAGAGATAAATGAGAAGCAATTTTACTTGTTAACAAGACTCGCACTATTTTAACAGTTCATCTGCGAGCTTTTTATTTTAGGCAAAGCTAAAAATGCGTGTTTTAAAAATGGACACAGTTTACAACTTGTATTTAAAAAAAATGGACATGGCTAAAAATGCGTATTCAAGAAAATGGACACAGTTCAAAATGCGTAGTTAAGAAAATGGGCATAGTTCAAAAGGCAACTTTTCGCTTCATTTACATGTATTCAGATTTCAAAAATATTGATTGGTATTTAAAAACTTAAGTTTTTACAAGTATCACGTATATTTACAACCACTTTTATAAAATTATAAATGCCCATTTATTGAGAATTCTTTTGAAAAAAGACCAAATTAAAAAATATATATCGTGTCCATTATCCTAAATATGCTTTTTCGATATATTTAATAAAAAAACGTAGCAAGATCTGTTGGCATCACCTGATGCGGAGTTTAAATATGACCCCTTTGTCCATGAAAATTTATAGGAAGCAATTTTTTTTCTCAATTAGGTTTCTAATAAAGTTAAAAGTTTTAATTTTTTTCTAAACAATTTTGTATGAATAACAAAAAAGGCAATCTATTTTATTAATTATCCAGTATAATGTACAGAGCATTCGCTTTTCACTGTAATGCCTAGGTACGAATCCCAGCTGTGGCTGATTTATACGAATTCTGCTTCCGACTTGCATCGACCACGGTGCTGACGTAAAAAAAAAAAAAAAAAACATTCTTAGTGGTAGACGGATCATGGGTTTGAATCTTCTTGTTATCGGACTATCGGTGGTGGTTATCGTGGTTTTTCCGCCATGTAACGCAAATGCGGGTTTAATCAAAAAGTCCTCAGCGAAGGCTTGTTTGTCCCAATGTTTGATCCAGGAGTTCTCTTGTCTTCTGGGTTGGGTTTAAAATTACAAGGCTATGGAGTTGAGCTTTGATATTCGTAAACTCAGAATTGGGTCGTCAGTTATAAAACAGATGTTTACGGTATAAATAAGCAATACTGTTTTCGATAAATAGATAACTTAGTGTATAAAATATGTAAAATAACATAATTTAATGAAAACTGAATAAAAATATTAAAACCGTGATAAAATTAAAATGATAAGAATAAAATTATCCATATTATAAGTCAGAAGTTTATGACATAGAAATTACGCGTTTCAATATTGCGAGTCTCTTAATCAGTATAATAAAACTTTAAAATATTTTTATTGTGCTGATGAACGTCCTTCCAGCATCTTGTGTGTTAAATTCTGAATTCAAAATGATAAAGACGTAGCCGAAATTGATTGATTGAATACAAAAGCAAACTAAATAAAATCAAATGCTAAGAAAATCAAAAATTAAACATTTATAATGAAAGAATAATATTAGAATGAAAAAAATAATTTTTTTGAACGGAATATGCCAAACAAAGAAAAGTATTATGCAAAATTTTAAAACAAAATAGTACTCAGAAAAAATTATGAAATAAATTATTATGAAAAATTTTGAATTAATTGCGAGGATCCTCCCAAAAGTTATGTAACAGGTCAACAACACTGTTACAATTGTATATTCTTAAATGTTTGCAGTAAATTGAACTGAAAATGTTAAAATGGAAACAAATGAAATGTCTGAAATAAAAACACACTACACTATTATAAAGAACTCAGAAAACCATTATTTTCTAGCTATTCAGCATAAAGTAAGATTGACTAAACGGTTTCTGCTCTCTTATACAACATTCGATTTGATGGTTGAAGTTCATATGAATTATTTCATGTTTTTACTAATAATAATTGCAAATTAAATGCAACAAAACATAAAGAAATTTGCCACTTTCTCAAATTTAGTACCGGGGAATAAATAATTAGATTTAATTTAGCCTAAATAAAAACTTGGTGTAATTAAAGTGATAAGTTCAAGCGATCTGCAGCAAAACATTTTTGTCACCCTTTCACCTTTGGGCACGCCACCGATCACAATTGTTATTGCACTATGAATTGTTATTACACAAATGTTACACACTATGAAGCATATGTAACAATTTAATTAAAATTCACAAAAAAAAACAAAATAATAAACAATTATTAATACAAAAATTAGCAATTAATGCTAAAAAACAATTAATAACCATAAAAAGCAAGCTAACAATAAATAACTAGCAAAAAAATCAACAGTCCTGGTTAAACTAATATCTTACAACCTATAAGTTATTTGTCATTTAATCTGCAATAACAGAAGTCCCACTGATCCTACTTTAAGTTGAATTACGCGTATAACTGAGACATTGCAAAATGTGTTTTCTTTTCAATGTAAATAAAGAGTTTTGAGTTGATAGTATTTAGTATTATTATTTTCCCAATAATCATGAAGTCAAAATTATTTGACGGCACGTCTGTGATTTCATTAAACATTTTTTTAGAAAAAATGTCACGTTGGTGTATAAAGGTTCGCCACCCCTATCCTACGCCACTGTCGATTATCTGCTGACGTATGAATACAATGTTGAGATTTTGATCCATATGCATAGTTTTGGAGTAATTATATAGTATGTTTTGGCAGTTTTATTTTATTTAATTATTTATTTATTTGATGTAAAGGAGAAACGATCAGCAATATCTCTCTACTTTCATTTAAAAAAAAATTATTTTGACTATTGAAATCAGGAAACTCGTCGTTGATATTTATGTAAACTAATATTGAGAGATCTTTAAATATCCACTAATGACCCTTCGTTTGATGTAATTTTTTTCTCTCGTTTGAGAAGAAGCAAATTTTTTGAAGATGCGGAAAGACAGGAAAAAAAGTTGTTTAAAATATTTAAAATATAGCATAAGAACGTGAAAAGTAAGTAGGAAGCGAATTCCCTAGTATATAAAAGAAAAGAAATAAGCCATAAAAAATTTTTTATTCCATAGCAAGAAACTCATATCGTATCACTTTTTAACCTGTACTTAATTAGTAAAATAAAAAATATTTTTTTTCAAAATTGCTTTATTTGGCTGATTTCCATATATTTTACTGATAAAAACTCAGGATTTAGGAATTTTTCGTAAACAGGTTTTCGTGAGTTTTTTCCACTTACACCTATTAAGTGCAATTCTCTTTCAAAGTCTCTTTCTTTACAAAGTCAATTATTAATTTTCATTCCCTTTTTTTAATTGGGAGGAGATGATCCTCTACTGCATGTTATTTATTTTTTTCTTTTGTCATTGTATCTAAGTAACCAAGCCATTTAATATAAAAGATTTTGATTATTTTGGTTTGTTATTATCATTACATTTTTTTCAGACTTCGGTATTGTATCGAAAAATCATTAAATTAAATGGGTCAAAAAAAATCTTTCAAACATTTTTTTTTCTTCAAACATTAGTTGTAGGTTTTTTTTCAATTTTTTTAAGTTTCCCTCCTTCATTATCATATGCAACAGAAAGTTTTTAGTGCAACATTTACCATTTTAATAAATATTAGTTAACGCAAACTAATTTCTTACTTACGATTTTATGGAATCCTTCCTATTTCTCTTCTTAATTTGCTTGTTGACCTACAAGAAAGTAAGCTGGTATTTACAACGCAATTTATGTAAATAAATAAGATAATGACAAGTTATAAGTTATAAACAAGTGATAATGTCAAGAGTTGGAAATGAAATAAAAAAACTTGGACATTATGCAATCTAGATATGCGATACATTAATAATATTACAATGCATTGATAATTGTTATGATAAATGAAGATTATGGGGGGAAAATGGTTTATATTCATAAGAACTGATTCTGAGAAAAAAAGAATTTCGCCCTTTGACAGATGCCCTTTTTCAACAGAACTTCTCACCTTCATTGTATTAACAACTCTTGGGTAGAACAAATTTTCTGTGTTATTGATTTGTCAAAACTTAGTAATTCCTCAAAATGCAACAAATGACGATCAAATTGTCATTTTTGTGAAAAATGGAATCACATTAAGAATATGAATTCATTTTCTTACTTATAATATATTATTATTATTTAAAACTTTTATTTCCTTATTAATCACGAACAGGGGAATTTTTTTCTCATTATCTGAAGAATAACTTAGATGAGGTGGGGGGGGGGCAACATATGTGATCGTAATTTTGTTTGTGACTACAAAGCATGTGCTAAGATAACTTAGCTTATTATTTTCCAAAAATAAGCATTTGCAACTGGTTTGAGGAAGAGGACAGTCAAATATATTAATAAAAAAATGGTCTTACTTTTGTTTTTCTGTAGACTCGGCGTCGTTTATTCTTTGCTTCACTTTTTTGTTCCTATAAAAGAGCCGATAATAATAGTTTATAAGCTTCATATAACGACTATTAAATTTCAAATTAAACTATATTAACGGCTTAGAAAGAAGGCAATTTTTATCATAATTAAACAAGATTATTTTATAAAAAAAATAAATTCAAACATGTAGTAGAACTTATAAGAAGGATAAAAAAAAATAAAAAAAAGCTTACTGTGAAATTTGAAGCAAATGCGTATTTCAAATAATTCTGGAACTTCTTATTACTCTCCAGTTCTTTTATTCTTGGAGACCTCCTCAAGACATTCTGCTAAAAAAAATTTTTTTTTTAATAAAAATTTTGAACTTTGTTCAAAGTACCTTGAACTGTGGATAAAAAAATTACGGTACTTTTCAGTTAGCCACGAAGGAAGTCGTCAAATGATTCAGACCTGAGCCAAAATAATAATAGTTATAATAAAAAATCCCACTTTAATTTACTGTATATTTATATTGTTGAATGCTTTCGGTTTAGATTGACAGTCACTTTGTTTTGTTGATTGACTTGAAAAAAATAGTTGGAGGCGTTTTCACGTGGCTAATTGTAAAGTATGAAAATTACATTGTGATAATGTTATTTATTAAATTTTTATACCGACAAATAAGCAAATCCTATTTAAAAATATGTCAATAAGAATGAGTAAGTGGCGATTTTGTAGGGATAATTTTTTCTTGCTCAATGGCGTTTTTAAGGCATTAAAAAAGGGCGTTTTCCTTTGATATATAAATAAATGTTATTTAATTAATAATTATGGTTAAGATCTCTGAATCTAACTGCATCATCTCATTTAGATCAAATATGCTTACTATTATTTTGAGATAAATAGTTTTAAGATACACTTGAAAAAAATCTATGCACTTACGCTTTTCGCGAGTTTTTAACGGAATGCTTTTGTTCGTTTTCCCAAATTTCTTCTTAATTAAATAAAACTACAGCAAGTAGCTTATTTAATTGAGTCCTAAAGATTCCATGTATTTAAGATTTTATTACAAAATATTTCTTAATGATAATTATTTGAATTGTGGTAGAAAAAATTATTCCGAAGCTAAATATTTTAGAAGAATATGGAAATTCCAACACTTGAGTTGCAAGAACAATTCCATTAAAATGTTATGAAGAAGCAGGAAAATTTTTTTCAAGTATAAATTTATAGGTAAATTTTGTTAAGTAAAAAAAAAATTGGTTTCAATGAGAGTCGGATAAAATTTGGATATTCTCGCACAACTTGTTCGTCCGTAGCTTTGATACAGAAAAATCAAGAGCAGAAGTAGGTCAGTACAAATATTTAAACCCAATTTTACAGTTTTCATTGATGCATAATTTTTTTAACATACTTCTAAAATTGATAAAACGATTTATTCAATTTGCTGCACCTATTTTACCGTTTGAAAATGCTTTTTATCAAAAAGTGATTTTCGTGTAATGAATAATATAAAAAATATATATATATATATATCCATAGCAAAGAAAAGGATGTAAATTTCTTTTCACTTGCTTAATAAATGTAAAATAAATTCAACAAAATGTTGATTGTTTGTTTATGGTACTAACACTAGTATGTTAAATTGTCCGTGTAAATTGTTTCAACAAAAATTTCTTTTACTGTTAAAATAACGAACAACATCCCAATAAAAACACCATTAAGCACAATTATAACCTCATAAAAAACTATTTGCCGAAAATAACTAGTGTTACACTTTAATTTATCTTATTTAGTATAATAAATAATCTAAATTTAAGATATATTAATATTTTGTAAATTATAATTAAATTATTTTATTCTGGAACCTTATTTTGAAACTTGTTCCTTGATTTCTGATTGGTCATACATACATCTGCTCGTGATCATGACCTTAGACAAAGTACAGCCGATTCTGACTCCATTAACTATATTCCATTTAACTCTACCTTTATCAATCCTATCCGCGTATTCATTCATAAAGAAGGATTTTGTTTTTCAGATTCAAAGTTCCTAAATTGAAGAATTATTCCAAGTTTCAAGTGTACCAATCTGTTTAAGAGAGGTAATGCTTAAAAATATTTCTCTCTCCTGGTCTTCTTATTTCCTGTTATTTTTTTATTTTTTATGCAACTAGAATATCAAAACAGAATTTCTTTATTATTAAAATAATGCTAGAAAGTATATAAAATACGATCTTTTTAACTTTATCCAGTTCTTAATAATAGTAAAACTTCAAAGGATTTTCCAATAATTAAACTAAAAAGGATTTTCAAATGTAAAAATATGAACGAAATAATTAATTTAGAATGAATGTCTAACTAACGAAGAATTCGTTTACTGAAAAATGTATTAATAGCGGTAACTCAATAAATTTTCAATGAAAACTAAGAAAATCTAACAATAATTTGTATTCACCTCAACTTCTATTGTTTCTCAGTTGTATTACCACCGATTTTCAAATATTTTTCTTAGTATGTTCGATTTGAAGTGCTATTTCGTTTTTATAAGTTGTATAAACATGTATATATGGTTGGAAGTATACAAATTGTGCTAATTACATTTTAAAATAAATTTTCATTAATAGTTATACTATTATTTGAGGCTTGATTTGGTTTTTTGAGACAATATTCTGAAATAAATGTATATACATATATAAATCCAATTTTAATTCAGAATTGGTTTGCCACTGGATTTCGATTTTCTTATCAAAAAACATATTTCTTCCAGCAAGATAGTAAAAGACATTTTGAAAAAAACCTAAAGAAATTTAAAAAGAATGAAGTTTGAAGATTATACAATTGGTTTTTTAGAATTTTAAAACATGACAAATTTTTTATTGAGTGCAATAAAATACATGAATTCGTTTTAAGTCTTAATATAACATTTCAAAGCTAGTTTTGCTTCAGAAAATTTTCTTGTTATAATTTATTTTAAACTTTTTTAAAAAACTTACTAGTCCTGAAACGTAAACTTTGTTTAGATATTTTATTCGTCTTCTGTCCTGAATCTAGTAATTTTCTATTTTGCTTAGCACTATTGTAAAGATTCGTTAGAAAAGGATGCGTTGTTTACTTAAAGATAACACTAGTATACTTTGGTACTTAATTTCGTAAATAGCAATTAATATTGAAAAATTAATATATTGTTTAATATTTTAGATTTTCAATGGAATTCTCTAATTAATAAGATAGCTACTGAAGATGGTAAAATCCGATCATTTGATTCAAAGTAGTTATGGCCAATTCATTTTTTCATTTGCAGACTAGTACTTGATATAGCCCAAAAGATATATCTTTTTAGTATCTGTACCAGTGGATTGTTTAATTTATTTCGCAGGCGAGGAATGCATATCTGCATCTTTCGATTTTCCTCTGCAATTTTCTTTATTAACACCGAATGCATTAAAAAGCATTTCGTGGGTTCGAGTTTATCACATTATGTAATGTTTTTATTCTACATTATTAATTTTACTAATTCATATATTAATTTTTTCAAAATAGTAGGAGAAAGTAATATTTTTATTTATTTATTTTGCTAGATACTGGCAATGAATTTCACCATTAGAATAGATTAAGAAAAATGTTAAAGGTGGGAGTGCTTAGCAATGGCCCTTAACTTAACGAAACATCAGTGTAGGGAATACCGAGGAAGTGTCTAATCCTTAAAATTTTAATAATGTGAGAATTTTGGATTGATAAAAATTGATCTGATGGTATATTAAATTCCGTAGATACCAGTTGATGTTTGACAAAAACAGTAAAATAAAATATTTAAAATAGAAATCAAACAAAACATTTCCTTTTCAATCTCAAATTATTATTTTGTACGTTTTATGAAAGAACGAAAAAAAGACAGAAAACCTTTGAAATATATACTTTAATTAGAGAATTATTGCAATTCTCACAGAATTCAACAGAAACTAAGATCTGATCATTATCGAAAATATCACAAGACAAATTTTGTGTGAACTGAAAAAAATCATAAGAAATCTTTGTTCAAACTTAATTCACCTTAAAGATATTCAAAATGTCTGAGTGTAAAAATTCTTAATATATTCTTAAAAATCTTAAGATGTTTTAAGGTAACATTAGTTCAGGAAACTTTCTTAAGACAAACTTAATTCATCCTAAAGGTATTCAAAATGTCTCCAAAAATTCTTAAGATATTTTGGAGATAGAGTTAAATCTTAAGAAATTCTTCAAACTTTTGAAGAATTTCTTAAGAAAAGGATATTTTTAGTGGGGTGAAATGCTAATAGTTGAAAAAAATTTCTAATATCCTCAGCTGCTTTTTTCCACCTTCACATTTCTCCTTTGAAAACCCGAGTGTTAACATTATGGAATTGTCTTTTCCCTTAATGTTCGTGTAATCATAAGATTTAAAAGAGTAATATTTTTTTTAAACATTTACAAGCACTCAATCAGCTTGCGTTTCTTCTTCTGATAAAGATGTAAAAAAAAGAAATTAATACTTGTGAAAAATTAATATTTGGGAAAAGAACTTTTCATAATATATTTTACAAATTAAAATATTCATATATTTGATAGACATAATCATATTTTAATAATAATTTCTTTCGTTTTATGCGTTTTTGCTTAAAATGCAAGTGAGAACAATAATAAACTATTAAAAAAAAAAATAAAAAGAGAGAGAGAAAAAATATATTATACTTGGCTTAGATGTGAATAAACCCGCAGTTCAGGCTTTATTCGTGAATTTTTCACTTGTTAGAACATATTTATAAACAATGAAATGATTTTTAAGAATAATGATTTTAAACTCTATTAGCTTCCCATAATTAACAAAAATATGCACATAAGATGAAGAAAATTAGTGCAATCGAATGTATTTTATTATATTGCAATGATCGATTTAAATTCAGAAAGAAAAAAAAAATCAATTTTGTGTTTCGGGAGATCTTTTCGTTTGCTACAGGATTGAAAGTAGTCTAAATTGTTTTTAACCATTAATAATAATTAAATGGTGGCAATGTTCTTTTAAGTTTTTCTCAGTGGCTCATACTTAATTTTGACAGCCATTTTATAATTAATTATAGCATGTAACTTAAATGCAAGCCCGAAATTAGCTAATGAAGATAAATTAAACACACAACATCCCATTTCTATAATACCAACATCTATTTTCTATAATATCAAATATTCAATTATAACAAAAACCTCATTCCTTTAAATAAACAATTATCACTAAATGATAATTGCAGGCCTTGTAGTAGGCTAGAAAAAAAATTAAGAGAAAAAAAAAATTAGGACATTTTTTGGAACAACAGTATTTGGGTACCAGACGATACAGCTTATAAATAAGGCAAAGAATAAACTGAAAAAAGTATAATTTGTTCAAATTAAGTATAATAAAGGCAAATTTCAATGTAAAAGGTGTATAAAATAAACTATATTTAATTTCAGAATTACTTGTTTAGAAAATAACAGTTTTCCGCATAATTCAATTAATAGAGCACGGAATAATTCCTAATAATTGAGGTCAATTATTAGGAATAATTCCTAATAATTGAGGTCAATTATTACGAATCAATTATTGATAAAATTGAATCAATTATCAATTATTGATTAAAAAAATTTATAATACTATTGGATTAAAAAAAACATATTAATTAGTTAATTTTCTTTCATAGCAATATTTAATTAAAATTTGTTATAGAGTTCTCGATATTCTTAATAAATAATTTCATAATAGGGTTTAAATAATTTCGGAATAAAAACAGAGAATATACCGCTTTACATTTTTGCACAAATTAAAGTAATTTAATTGATAATCCCTCAATTCAGTGTTTAAAAATTCTATTATAAGATAGTTGCATTTTGTTGACTAGAATCCTTTTTAAAATCAGGTAAAGTAGATAAATTAATCATTGCAAAACTACATAACTTTAACCTGCATTTTCTTACAATAATAAATGTAAGCGTATGACACCTGAATTCATCACCACCATAAAAATTTTATAATGTAAAAATTGTTAATTGAGCTTTTCGTAAAATGACTGAATTCCCAAAAAGTTTGAAACAATGAATATTGCGGGTACGGATATATGCAATAACAATGTCTATGATTAGTGGAGGAACTCTAAATTTGAACTATCAAATTTTGCGACTTTTACTAGCATTATTAAGTAAAATATATTGAATTGAAAATGCAAATCTTTCGATTCTCAAAATCGATTATTTTAAAATCCACATTTGTATCGTAGAAAATTGAATGTTCTAAACACACGATAGCTAAAAATGAGGTCATGTCTATAAGATGAAATTTATTTCATCTGGAAAATCAGTACAATCACGAACGGTCAAATCTTTTTTGATTCAAATGTTTAAGCATTAGGAACAACAAAATAGTTACAACTAGAACATGCGATAGAACAAAAATAGAAGGAGCTAAATTAAGTTGATTTCGTAAGATCAAATTTCCCTAACTATAAGATCATATTTTCAAAAATACAATGAATTTATTTATTACACATACATAACTTACCACATTCTCCATTCTAAACTACTTATTATGAGAAGTGCACGAAGATAACGTTTAGGCGGCAAAATGATAATTTTTATTAAATTCTACGAACAACAGTTGCCAATAAATGATCTTAATTCACATATTTCAATAATATTAGCTTTTACTTTCTAAAAAATATAAAAATATTATAAATGCAAACGATAATAAGTAAATGCAAGCGATAATAAATTGCAACATGAAAATGAATCTGCTGCACGGACGGGACGTACGATATTAGTGGCCCTCTAATGATTAAATGTATTTTTAATTCGACACACTCAAAGGACGGCCGGTGGTTTTATGTTTATGTCATGATCTTATGTCCCTGCTTTTAATCCTAGCTATGATATCACGTTTACAAAGGTTCCCAACGTGGTTTCTATCCCCACTAGGTTCTAGTGGGACATTAGGATTGTCTAGAACAGAGGTGGGGAGCCTATTTACAGTTATAAAGATGGTCGAGGTTCAGGGCCGGATTTAAGCTTGGTGGGGCCCTAAGCTACTGAAAATGATGGGGCCCTTATAAGTTCAATTCCATTTCCATACACCTAAAGTAAACTGTCATTATTTTTTATTGTTAAGCATTAATATTATATTTTTAAAAAATTTGATAATATTACTTTATTGTTAAATATATTGATTGTGATGAGACTATAATGTAGAACCTTTCTTTTATTGCACATATTTTTTGAACGAGGGAAAAAAATTACGAAAGAAACACATTTTAAGCACAGAGTAAAAATTTGGCGTGCTGGAAGGGCCACTATATATTTAACAGAGTTTTTTTTTTTTTTAAATTAATTTTGAATATATATTTTATTTGCAATTTTTAATGATTTTTGCGAATTTTTTTCTCAATAGTTTTTCTTTACGTCGCATTTCGCTTTTCTGCTCAAAATCTATAAGACTTAGAAACATGAAATTTTGAATGTGTGTAGAAAATATGCAAAGAGTTAGAAAGAATAGAAGAAAGTACAATATGATTATTAGTTTTGTTTTTTTATAACCGCCGTTGAACAACCGACTCAATTTTGAGTCTGCGGCTACCAATGTTTAACTCCGTAGCCTTGTAATTTTGAACCCAATCCAGAAGACAAGGGAACTGCTGGATCAATACCTAGAGGTATTTATTTGTTATGAAAACTTGGAGGACTTTGTGATCCCTTCAGATTTAACATGCCCCAGTCACCATTTTATACAAGGGTATTCTACTGCCGGCTGGATTCAAAGTCCCATTCTCACGAACACGAGTCCAACGCCCTATCAACCAGGCTATCCCGGCCAAATTTATTAGTTTATTTTATAGCAGTCATAGCACAGCCGACCCAATTTCGAGTTTACGACTACTCGTATTCAACTCCGTAGCCTTGTCATTTTGAACCCAATCCAGCAGTCCCTACACTCTGGAACAGTTGAGGGCCGTTATATTTATACTGTTTGTAAAAATAAAAAGAACATTTCGTAAGCTGATATTACTTAATTGATATCTTCTTCTTCATTATTTTTGTTTTCTTTTTAATTGTTTTAAGTACATTTGTTAAATTTTAGTACAAGATTAAAAATTGTCATTATTTATGTAAATTTTCGGCTTATATTTTTAAGGATTTATTAAAGGGTCTATTAAATATCAGAGAGAATAAAATGTGATACGGGTTTGAAGTATCAGCTCTGCTCTTGATGATGTATATAGTGGCTAGGATGTGAATGAGCAACAGTCCCGGGCATCCAGCCAAAACGAGCATTCAACATATCAATGGAACACACTAGAGCTTTATATCAATTAGTTTTAGATAATTACAATTGTAGAATACTTATTTTATTATAGAATGAAATGTTTTAAAAGACAAATATCTGTTAATGTTTAACATTTTATCAACGAAAAAACAGAACCAATATTGAAATCTAACTGATTTATTACTTTTAATTACTGATAAATTTTGTGACAGAAAAAAAATTTAAAGCCTGATAGATTTCAGAATTTTAGAAACACCTTCTAGGAGTCTTACTATTCAATCAAATAGGTTTCGATGTCTTTCATCCCGCCTGTATCATTAGTGATTCAACATATTTCAATATCAATTTTGTTTCGTTCTTACTTAATATTAATTTGCTTGCGACAGTTAATTTGTGTACCTCTTTTACTACATTTTTCGAGGAGTTGAAAAATATAATATTGATGATTTTAACTGAAATGAAATTTGCTTTTTTTGTATACCTCTTTCTTTTATTACGTCATCATCACACCCACACGCAACCGTCTGCTCTAAATAATGCTATATGAAATGAGATAGCAAAACAGGCGTGTGTAGTTAGTTAAATTCATATTCAAAAGTATTAGTTAATTGTTTTTTGAATAGACAATTTCAGTCATTTTTTAGATATTTTAAAGTGCTATTTAAAACTGCTGCATATCACATGAAAGCATTAAATATATTATTTGTACAATTTTAACGAAAAATAAAAGGGAATTCTGATCCTTAGAAACAGATATTAAATAGTCTGATGATCGAATGAAGGGGCAAAAAAAAACTTTTTTACCTTTTAAATTAAGAAATTGTTTATTTATAAATAATTTATTAATACTCAAATTGCTTGAAAGATATTTTCCCAACAAAGTTCTTTGTTTTATTCAGTCATTTATTTATATTTATTATGTCCGACAATGTAGAAAAAAAAAATGCGTTTTTGGATTCTGAGGACCCCAGCTCTGAATAAAACTTTAAAAAAAAAAGAGGGAAAAAAGTAGGATCTGGGGGCCCTTGTCATCTCGGGGCCCCAAGCTACAGCTTATACGTAAATCCGGCCTTGTCGAGGTTGCATAAGTTGATTCACCTATAAGTGCGACTTTTGTGAAATTATTTTATTTCTGGATAGCTTTATCACTTTATTGCATTATATAGAAATAATGCAAAAAAATATTAAGTCATTTATTAAGATAAAAAAATAACAATTTAAAATATTTTTGTATTCACTTAAGGTTAACGACTTATTATAATATTAATTAATATACTTTTAATTAATAATTACCTATATTTGAATATTGCTTCAAATAAAAATTATAAAGTCGAAATATTTTTGTATAAATACTTCTTTTCCACATTCAACTTCCAAATTGAAATATTTATGTTCTTGGTGGGTCAAATAGTGTTTATTTGCTTTCACCTTTTTCAAAGTAATAAAAACTGCATTGCACGATAAACAAACCATTTTATCTTTCACTGAAGTAAAGAAATAAACCAGCTCCTACTCAACAAAATTTTTTTTAAAACTTTTAATTTTAATTTGATATGATAGCGTAAAAATGAGTATCAAATAGTGTCTTGAAGAAAGCATAATTTTCCTAATTAGTAATATATCAGAAAAAGTAAAACGATTACTAGACAGGGTGCGTAGCGTTTGTAAAAAGTACTTAAAGGTGCTTTTTGGGGAATTTCATTTTTAAAAGCTTTTAAAGGTGCTTTTTTAAGCTGGCGTTTTTAAAAAGTGCTTTTTTTCACGAATAATTTTTTTTCCTTCAATGATATCAGGCGGATCCCCTGCATTTCACGAAAAAATGGGGTGTTTGCTACGTAATCATTCACGCGGACTTCATGTCGTACACACGTTATGACTTGCGCATGCGCGCACACTCGAAACTGAAACCCGAGTGCTCCAATTCGGATAGTCAGATCCTTATTAAATGTTTTTCTTTTTAATTTTATTCTTGTTTATTTTATTTTACTTTTAACACTTTTTTGATGTAGGGGGTAAGGGTACTTTTGTTCAGAGTCAAGTTGAATTCACTCGGTGATGTGGGAAAGTACTGATTGTTTCGATTTATGTCCGTTTCTTTTTGGGTTTTTTTTAAGGCTAAAACTGTTCATAAAAAGTTTTTGTTTTTCAATAATATCATTGATTCGATATAAATTTTTTGAGTGCTTGAAAATTTTTGTAAAGTGCTTGAAAAGTTTTTAAAAAGTGCTTATTTTTGATTCAAAGATTTGGCTACGCACCCTGCTAGATTTTCATAATGTCTGAATGAAACGAGACTGTTACAAGCACCCATAGTTAACTACAAATTACCAGGATTCAAATCATCAGGACACCAAATCAAACAGGGTTAGTGTATTGCAAATAGGGGTGAGCCATCGTCAAAAACTAGAACGCAACAGATGAATTTCTATTGTTGGACATGGACAAACTGAAGAATGGTATTAATTTCTAATTATGAAAGATTGCTAGAACTGCAACATTTTAATCGTATAATGCTCGATGGATGGCAGCACGCTATTTAATTTTATAAATTTTCATAATCAAATATTAGTACAACAACAATATAATTAAATATTAATAAAGCACAAGAAATTCACGGTGGTCGCATGTGGCCTGAATTCCACAGTTTCCCCATAACACAAGAAAGCTTAATTTTTTACAAATTATTATTGTCTGATAAAGCGTTTGAGACAAGCACTGTATAAAAAGATTATTTTTAAATGCCTTTTAACCGCTTCATAACTGAAGTTTAAAGGAATACAGCAAAAAAAATATTTTGCAGTTCCAAATTTCTAATTTATTGCCATAATAAGATTTAAAAAAAAAAAAAATGAATTAACCTCAGGTTTTAACAAAGTAAAATGATATAATAATTAAAAAGATTAAATTGCATCTAAAGTAGGAACAAATATGCATAATGTTATATTATGGTCTTAAATACAATGACGAATAGATTTAATAATTATTTTAAAAAAAAATCAATTTTAAAAATTACGAAGTTTTTTTTTAATTAAGATTATTGAAAAGAATCTATCATTAACTATAAAAAAAATTAATTCTTGGGGGTAAAATTTCAAAATTATGGAAAAAAAACAACCAAAAAGTTATTAAATATATGTATGTACCATAGTACAAAACAATTTATTAAAATGCACATAAAAATATTACCAAATAGTTATAAAATTGAACACTCAATATTATAAGCTTTCACTTTACTACGCAGTCATAAATATCACAATACGTACCAAGGTACACACATGTGGACTTGCATGCTCTTGACAGTAATATTTTTAAATATTAAGTAAATACAAATTTAAGAGCTTCATACAGATCACAGAACTAATAAGATAAAAGAAAAATATTTTCAGAATAACTAAACTATATAGTATTCGAAATTAGTTACATTTTTCGAGCACGGTGATTTAGCGTTTTTGTTTCGGAAATTCTGTTTATGTGGAACATGTAAGTTTTTCTGCTCAAATAACTTACATATTTTGCATCCCTAGAAAGCTTAAATATCCACAAATGTTTCATTGAAGGTAAAATTATAAATTTTCTTATAGAGTGTTTTTAGAAGCTAAAAAGGGAAACTAGGGAAGTGTGACTCGCCAATTTTAAAATAAACTAGTGGGATGTATGCCTTATGAGAAATAATTTTAAGGGGCAACATTCGTTTCGGCCCATAGAAGGTCCTGTGAGAGATAAAAAATAATTCAATATATAGAAAAATCGATATTTTATTACTTCAATGCAGACTATTAGTTATTGTAATTGTCTCATACTCCAGATAATTTGTAATTAATTGGTTAATTAATTAATTTTCTAATTAATAAATCAATTAGCAAATTAATTAATTAATTATTAATTAATTGATTGATTTGCAATTACATGCTCCAATTAATTTGGAAAATTTTTGAAAAAAAAAGTAAAAAAATTTGATGTCAATTTTTTTTTTTTTTAAATTAACCTAACAGGTTTTTCTGAAAAACTACAGATATATAAATTTTTCAAAATCAATTTTGAGAATAACTATGCATTATATGGTACGTGAAAGTAAGTACCACAAAATTAATTGGAGTATGAGATAATTACAATAACTAACAGTTGCATTGAAGTAATAAAATACCGATTTTTCTATATATTGAATTATTTTTTATCTCTCACAGGACCTTCTATGGGCCGAAACGAATGTTGCCCCCTAAAATTATTCCTCATAAGGCATACATCCCACTAGTTTATTTTAAAATTGGCGAGTCACACTTCCCTAGTTTCCCTTGTAAGAAGTGAAGGTCCACATATGTAAACCGAGGTAATGAAGAGGTTAAGAGAAAAAAAGAAATTATGATCAATTAAAAGTTATCTCCTTGTTTTATCAACGTTAGTTTTCAGTGCATTTCGCTGAAAACTTTTTTATAGCTATGCCATTCTGATCAAATTTATTAATAAGCAAAAAATGTCCAGAATTGAATAATTATCAACGTACATCGATAAGCGTTTACATGGTTGCGTAGTTTCAATAGACGCAGTATATCTACGCTGTTGTCATCGGATCATCCTCAGGGATGTTTCCCAGATCGGCGTCAATAGCCTATTGTGAAGCTCTGGGGCAACATAATAAAGTACTACTATTACTACTTGACATCAAATCAAGTACGAGCATAAAAACTGAATAAGAATATCTTGAGAGATAAATATACTTTTCTGCAACAGTGAATAAATAATCTTTATTTGAAAAAAAAAATTAAAAATATTTGCTAAAAAAGCACCTAAAGTTGCAATAGCTTTAGTCAATAACAAGTTCGAATTTCAGAAGAAAAAAAAAGTCGCGTTAAGATCATTAAAAAGGACGCTAAATTCCAACGCATTTCGGCGGGCAGATCAATCCGCATAGTATTCTTTACAATTGATAATTCGTTAACTATTAATTGAATTTAAATTCTTATTTAATTCCATTTTACTCTGTTTATTTTTTGACACTCTTTCGTAATTTCGAGTTTCCAATTCTTACAGTTTCTGCGGGGAAAAAACACTTATAACTTTAATAAATTTTGAAACTAATTGGTGGCCCTTTCAACACGTAGCACGTCGAATTTCTAATTTATAGTTCATTCCTTAGGCTTTCACGATATATTTTTCTACCAGTTTAAAAGTTAATAACTCTCGTACAAATTATATCGAATGTTATTTTTTTTAATCCTATCTTATAAAATTATTGAAAAAAAATTCTGAAACATGCCTTTGCACAGAATTTCTAGAAAGTCAAGAAATGAGCTATCTCATCTCCTTACAACTTTTACAAACATCGAAAGACAAAAACTTAATGCTCGAAACAGAAAGCAAATGACGTATTACTCAAATTAGCTATTTTAGCATAAATTAAGGTTAGCTATTTTAGCACTCTTAAAAAGAGAAACTTGTATATGCTTTGCTGAAAGTAGTTAATCACATATTCCAAAATATTAGAGGTTTTGAAAATGGACAAATTATAAACATAATTACAATCGAAATGCAAAATCACTGATCTAGAAGAATAAATTTTTAGGGCTATGAACTTGGTGAAATAAGGGAGAAAAAATACTTATAGTTTGTCTAAAGTAAGAACTCCCCCAGCCATTCGTCTGGACCCGTGGCGGTGACTATAGCAACGAGATATAACTATTTAAAGTCGGGATGTGGGGTCACTGTTAAGGACAAGTTTTGGCTCAAGAAAGGTAATCTTTTTCTCAGGTCTACTGTGTAAGGAAAGCAGCCCTCCCTGAAATGCGCTATTCTTGTTTCCATAGCAGCAGACGGTCTTAAGACTTTGTAAGATTGAACTAATATTCAAGATAGGCTTGTAATTGGTAAAGTTAGCTCAGGATAGCGTATACATTTTCGTAACCATATCATGTGGGTCTTTCTGTTACATACCATCATAGCCAAAATTTTATAAAAATCTGTAAACTAGACAGCCATTGTAATAACTATCTCTTCGTTAAAATACAGTACAATAAGTTTCTAAGTGCTTGAAAACAAGAAAGAACATAAAAAACTTTTAATTAGCTTATTATTTTTTATAAAATTTTAGAATGAAAATTGTTAAAATGTATAATTACAAAATAAATCCAGAAAAAAATAATCTATTAGTGCTCCAAAATTTATCTTTAAATTTTAAAGTAAAGTTCAGAGTTTTTTTTAGTCAGAACCTATTTCTAACTCAAGTCACAATATAAGGAAAATAATAAAATACATTTAAAAATGCATTCTTTATTCCTTTTTATTTTTTACATTTAAGTGAAAACCTTTAATGAAAGGGAAAAGGAAAGATATGTCAGTATTAAAAACATTTCTGTCAAAAAAAAAATAAATACTAAATAATAATTAGCACTATTAAATATTCTCAAATAATAGGTCTTATATTTGTTAAAAAATCAATTTGGCAGGGTATTAATAAATATTAACTTTAATTTATGAAACAAATTAACCAATCATTAAAAAAAAAAAATTCGTTCTATATATGACACAATGTCTAGAAGGAAAATAAGATAATGCTATATCAGTTATATTTTAAACCCTATAATATTCAGCATTGATCCCTTTCTTTCAAAGTACAAAGTAAGCCCACTAAAATATCTTAATTTTAGTGTTATTTCTAACCACGGCTATGATCATTAAATAATTATTAGCATCTAATAGGACTACATAACCTTTTTTGGAAAAGGTTCAGGAAAATTTGAGTTTCAGGGATTTAATTGAATTTAGTTTGTACGTCATATATTAAATTATTTAATGTAATAAAAACACTAATTAGTTTTAAAATTAGAAGACAAAGCAGATGTAAAATATTTCTGAATCTAAATTTGGGCCTATGCACACTTCGTTTTCAATAATAAAACATAATTAGAACAGTTTTTCAACTTTCTTGATGTAAATCTATAACTACTTACATCTTTAAATCAACCGCAAATCTACAGTAAGAAGAAATTTGTTGCAAGAAAATTGAAATGTTAAGAGATATTTATCTTTTGACATCTCTAATTAGTACCTCTATATTTTAGAATTTCTCAGTTATTATTTTGACATATTTTTTTAAAGTTTATAGAAATTAGTTTGAAAGAAAAAAAAAACTCTTTGTGCTAATTATGTTATTTCCAAATGATTTTTTATTGACAGGTAGTTAGATGATATTTAAGAAGTGCGGATTAGATAATAATGTCTGTAAATTTACACATAAAAAAAGGACACATTAATCTGATAGAAAGTAATTTTATTTGTGGAGAGTAATGTTAATCATACAGAGTGATGGTAGTACAAGCAGATGGCAACAAATGATAAATATAGCAAAATTTATTAATAACCCAATATAAAAAGAAAAGTTCCTGGTTAATTTGTCATTTAAACAAGCTCTTATTCATTTTAGCAGTGCCTATCATCTGGAGCACGTCTTCTAGGGGCAGACTTAATAATGCCATCCACTCTCAAGATCATTTCAGCAGCTTCTGTTGCTCCACTAAGGACTTGACATTTCACTTTATAGGGTTCAATTATACCTAATTTAAACATATCATCAATCTTTCCTTCTTGCATATCTAGAGAGGAAAAAAAGGGGATTTAAAATTAAATTGCCTACAGCTCTAAATAAAATAAAATTGAGACACTCAAAATAGAAGAGACAGATCACAACCAACCTAAATCTTTAAGATAATATTGTATATTCTTTTGTATATTCTACATGCTAAAGTATTAAATGAATTCAGATAATACTGACAAAATTAGGTGATGTGCAGCCAGCACAGTTTAAGATATTGATGAGTTTGCACACTAGGTATACTCAGAATAGCAGCTTTATTTTTCATTCTTAAAACTACAGTATACAATCAAATTTTTGGCCAAAATATATTTAACGCACATATTTTCTAAAGATCAAGAAAACATCAAGAAAAATTCAGCAAGAATCCATCTTTAGGAGCATGTTCTAGGAAAAAAAATGACTAACTTAAAGGTATATATATATTTTTACATACAGTACACAACCCGTTATCCGGAAATCAGAAAACCGGAAAACCAAAAAACCGGAACGAAATTCGCTAAATTTTCCCGCAATTTAAAAAAAATTATTTTTTTTTCCCTCACAAGATGTTAGGGTTTTTCTTTCTTTTTTGAAAGGTGTTTACCTTACCATCATTTTGGAAATAATCATTAGTGTATTAATTCATCGTTTTTTCTTCTTTCTAAGATTATTTCCCAAAAATTTTTTTTTACTTGGGTTTAAAAATAAATAAACGGTTTTTTGTAGCGATTCAGAAAACCGGGAAAATCAGTTATCCGGAATAGCGATGGTCCCGATCGTTCCGGATAATCGGTTCCCTACTGTAATAGAAAGTAATTTTACAAAATTTTAAATACATTCTAAATATTTTTTAAGTTAATTAGTTTTTAGTAGGCAAATAAAAATGGTATGACTGATTTATTTTCAAAGTAAATTTTAATTTCAACAATATATATACATAAAATCAAAGACAGAGCTGAAAAATTAAAAGACTAAAAATATAAAATAATGTAATTAAACAGAATTCATTAAAAAAAAGTTATAAAATCAGAAGTAACATTTATACAAGAATAGCAAACTTACTTAGACCATAAGTAGTTTTTCCTTCTGATTGGGCAGAACGCAGTTCAGAAACAAGCTGAGCACTATCGTAACCTCCATTGTCAGCCAAAATTATTGGAATCTGTTTTTTGACAAAGGTAAAGAAAGATAATTGCTCAATTTGAAATACATTATAAGAAAATCAAAGTTAATAACCATACAATGAACAATTTTTGTAAAAGTGAATAAACATAGTGTCAGTCCGTAACCTTTTACAAAAGAAATAACGCAAAATTCTACAAAAAAACTAATTCACCATTTTATTATTCTTTTTTCATCCATTGTCCAAAAAACCAAAACAAAAAAAAATGATCATATCTATAATATCAAGCTTTTAGCTCGCAACATCAGAAAATGCGTGTTATTACATCACGTGACCCTGACACATAGCAAAGTTAAAAAAAATAACATTATCTACTTTTTATAATTAGAATTATTGATAGTAATTAAAAATTAATATTATATTCATTTATATTATTAAACCATATTACCTGCTACATATATAAGATAATAAATATATGTATACATCGCAATTTATTAAATGTAGGTAATTTTAATTTAAGAAAACTTCCCTTTGAAAAACTTAGTTCAATCTTTACGAATCAGGGGAAAAAAATTTTGGGGGAATGTTTTTATACAACAGGTCTCAAAGCTAAATATCAAAGACATGGTCTTGCAATGTCAAAAACAACTTAATTATGTATTTCAGATTTCAAATTTTTCACCTTTAAATATGTGTGTATGACTTTTAAAAGATAAAATTCAATAATTCATTCACAACTTGACATATTTCGTTTGAATTTTGTATGACTTCCAAATCAAAATAATTTTACTGTAATTAAAAAAATACAGTTTGCTTCAAAAGAGGTATAGCAAAATACACAAAAGGTAAAATTAACATTAAGGGATTAAGGGGTCTAAACTTTCTGCTGCCTTTCAGACCAATTGGAATAATATTTATTCTCATATTGTGAGAGCTAGAAATCTGAATAAGTCGAAAAAAGGTATGTTTATTCATAAAAAGTACATTTTTATGTTTTATTTTGTAATTTAAAATCACCTGTCCTAATTATTGTTTTGGGTTGGGCTCCCAAACCATAAAAATTAGGTTTTGTACTTGAAAATTCAGTAATAGGATCAAAAATAATTATGGGTGTTTATTTTTTTGGCTTACTTTATAAAATTATTCGAACTAGCAAACACCAAAAATTTTAAAGAACATGTCTACTGTTAGTTTGGTTGGTATAAAAACTACAAATTTTTCTTTTGTAAGTTTTGTTTTATTTGTGCTTTTGTTAATAGTTCATACATATGCACAACTCCATTTTTGAGTTGCTGTTTTAAAAACATATTGTGCAAAAATTGGTATCGTGAAATGATGTTTTTAATGTTCTGAATTTGGAAGATTTGTTTAACTAGTTTACAATTTTTTTTTTAAAGAGTTGTAAAGAGTCCATTTTTAGAAATTGGATTTTTCCAAAAAATGCTAAAAAAAATCTAATCATATTTCAGGTTGCAGGGGTCTTTTTAACTTAAAAACGGACCCTTCACAAAATAATTTATCGTTTAATCGGACCCTTCACAAATTTGTTTTTCTTAATTATTGTTTTGTTATTCAAATAAACCTTTCCTAGGAAGGGGGGGGGGAAGAGAGACAAAAGTAAACAATCAAAGTTTTGTCTTCCGCAGATGCTTCTTCCTTTATTCCTCCGAAATGAATATTCTGTGCTGAGCAGTATAGGCTAAAATACCAAATATTTGCATGTTGCATCTCTAATTTAGTAGCAGCAATTGCTGTTTTTTTTTGTTGATAATTTAATTTTTTTAATTATAATTTTACAGTGTTGAGCAGAATCTTGTATGTCTTAACAATTTAAAAACTGGTTGAAAGAATGTGATTTAACGTTTATTTTATATTCACAAATTATGAGTAATTTTTGCACAATTTTACAAAAACGGGCCTTTCACAAAATGTCTGGATAGACTTTTGAGTTCAACGCCACAAGCTTAATATTGGTGCTAAAGCTCTTAACCAAATAAGAAAAAAAATATTTACACTATTAAAAGAAGTGTAATACCTGTAATAGAGCCCTAGCATAGGCCTCCATAGCTAAGGATTCTTTTCCAGGAGTTTGAGCAGCTAAAGCATTTACATGCCTGGCCATAATCATTTCAGTGCAGCCACCTCCAAGTACAATTAATCTTTCACTGATTGTAGTGACTAACACACAAAGGACATCATGCAGAGCCCGCTCTGCTTCATTTAAAATTTGTTCTGTGGCTCCTCTTAGAACAATAGTGCAAGATTCACTCACAGGAAGTCCAGAAAATTTAAGTACATGGTCTTCTCCAAGCATTATTTCTTCGATTTTACCACAAGTTCCAAGCTTGACAGTTTCACATCTTTCAATATCAGACACAATTTCACTACCTTTATTAAAGAGTTTTTTATTATTATTATGTTTTTAGTAAATTAATGCAGCAAGCTTTTTACTAATTTTCAAACATAAGAAATGTTTGATATAATTTAAAAAGATGACACTGATGCATAAATTATTTAGATATGTTTTAATTCTGAATAGGAAAAATTAAAAAATCAGAACAGAAAAGTAACATACATACACCAAGCTATATAACAATATTTTGCAGTTCCAATAAATCCGTATTGGATTTAATTTGAGGTCAGAAAAACTACATTATTTGTGAAGTTTGCTACTGTTACTTTTTTTAAAATGTTGTGACTACTACTTTGGAATTGAAGCACTACTTAAAGGAGACGAACTTACGTTAAACGTAAGGGAATAATTGAGAAATACTTATTAGTGTTTACATGATCCAACATGTTTTTCGAACATTTTTTTTTTCCTTTCGGAATTTATTTATTTAACCTTCAACTTTTTTTGCCTTTCTCTACATTAAGGAATAAAAAATTATGAATTATTTGAAATTTTTTAATTGTTTAATGCTTTTATATTTTCTTTGAGAAATTAAGTACATCAAAAACAGTCCTTTCCTTTTGAAATAACATCTATGTTTCATTTGTGTACATTCACATTGCATGTGAAAGGGTTACCTAAGTGATATTTTATTCATGATTCTAAATGAATAATTCCTGTTGATGCTCAGCTGCAGTCACATGACCAATTTCATTGCATCCATTGACAAATCCATGAAGATTTGAACCGATCAAATTAGAAAAATTAGTTATGTTAGAGCCGTAATTCTTTTCTAAACTAACACAGGGTTGCCACTCAAATCAGGAAAAAAAATTTCATGTGTTTCCCCTGTTCATATTATACACAATATATTAAGAGGAAACAACAATTATTGTGCTCTTGTGTGAGCTATATTAGGATAACTATATTTATTAGTTTCAATTGCTGGAAAAACAGCTGAACATATTTAAATAATGCTATAGTAAATGAAATAGTTTAGTTTAGCTGAAATATCACGGTTAAATATTCCATAGATTACGCTTTGAGTGGTCACCATTTTTTTAAAAGACAAAAAATAAGAAACAAAATTCCCTGTTTGTAAAGAAAAAAAATCAAAATTCCCTGTTATTTCAGGTGATTTTTAAATTCCCTGTATTTTCCAGGTTTTCCCTGTGGAGTGGTAACCCTGTAACAGCAAAAGTAATTGCTAGGAATCGCTACAGACTGTTTTTAGCATTGCACTACCTACTACATTACTTTAAAAAAAAAGTAGCAGACTACACTATATAAAAGTAGGGACTACAGTAGTTTCATTACTTGTAGTATGCTACTTCTGACCACTGGATTTAATGATAGTTTTATCTCAACATAATAAAATTCTGTGAAGCAATTAACTTGCATAAAACATAACCTTAATACCATTTCTTCCTTAATGTTCCTTTTTCTATATATCAGAGAGCTTAGAAATCCCACAACTTTTAGTTTTATGTGAAGGTCATAAATGTTACACCCCAGTAATTGCAACTCTCAATACCAAACAAAAATCTAAAAATATTTGTAAAAAAATTTCTAGCTAAACTATTTTGTATTATTGTTCTTTAGAATAATTTATTTCTTATTATTCTTCATATAATTGGTTGAATTAACCCTTAGGTTAAATATAATATTTAACAAACCTTATTTTATGTAGAAGCACCTGCCTAAAAATTATGCCTAATAGTTATGAAAACCTATATGCGTTAAGTATTATGCTATAATCCCTTTACTACAGTTTGCATAAAATTGTTATAAAATATTCCTTATAATAATTAAAGGTTAGATATTACTGACAAAGCTATCTTGATAAATGTATTAAAATCTGGATAATTTTATACAGTTAAAGAGTTCCATTTATAATTTAATTGGAAGTACAATAATACACATATTAACACAATTTAAAATTGGCACATTTTCAGAGTTTTTACTATTTAATTCTATATCTAATACAGTGGAATCCTGATTCACATTTTCTATCAAACAAATGTAATAAAAGTGTGAAGAAACTGTAATATCAGGTTCAATAAAAGTATATTAATAAATAAATAAAACTATATTTTTGAAAATTGACACTTACAAAATGGAAAAACTATTGGAAAAAATTTCTAATCCTTCCTATTTTTAGATACCATTTTAAAATATCCTGCTACCTCAAAACAAATATTTACTTTTATTTTTCATTCCGAAAATATTGTTTTATAGTTTTCATGATATGAAACACATGATCAATGATCAGATCAAGATCTTCTGGAATAGTTTCAAACAGTTAGAAACAAGAATTTTTTTTCATCGGAAAGAAAGAAAAAAAAAAAAAAAGGTAAGGAAAAAATTTGTGTGAGCTTTGCAGAGAACAGAAAAAAGGATTTTGATCTGTTAGAAAAATATATAAAGTGGAATTTTTTCTTAAAAAGGGTAGATCAAAATGTGGGATATTATATAATTTTCGGTATTGTCAATTTTTGTAAGCTAATATTGCAAAAATGACGTAAGAAGTTATAAACATATGAAACGGACAATGAAAACTGGAGTTCATTGTAATAATATGCCTGAATTTCCCGTAAAATAAAACAAAATAAATAAAATATGAATGTTATTTTTTCGAATATTTGTAGCTAACAAAACTTCATAACAACAAATTCTTAGAAAAAAAAAACTTTTTTACTGCTCTACCATAAGAAAGTAATTTTGCGAAAAGACCGTAATATTAATATGAAAAAAATCTTAATAGTCGGCATCTTTGCATTTATCAAGAATACAACATATAAGTTTAATGATAATATGTTAAAAAAATTCATAGAATTTTACCATTATACTCTTGCAAGCTAAATTTAGTTTATTACAAAAATCCAGAATAAAAACTGATATTACAACTGATATTGATTAATTCCATTATAGTTTGATAAAATAACTATATTTAAAAGTTTACCTAGCATTGAACATTACTGTTTCATAAAAACTTGTTGGGGCACAAAAAATTACTGAATTAAGTGTTAAATAGAAATTGGAGTTCATAAATTAAGTAGAATAGATAATTGTTCCAAATCGGTAAAAGGAAAGAAAAATATACAGAATAAATTATATAAAAGAAAATTTATTTACAAGTAAATTTATTTAAAATTGAACTTAATCAAAAGAATACATTAAAAATAACAATGTTACTGATACTTTCTAACTGGTTTAAACTATAAAACATTAAAATTACATTCTATAATTTACTCGTATAATAAAGCAAAGCACATTTAAAACCTAGTTCGGTTGCAAACAAAAATGTAAAACAGGTACCTGTAACAAGAGCTAATCTTTCAACACCATCAAAATCAGCATGCTCAATTGCCATTACACCAGCATCAGCAAACAGTTGTTCAGGATAATTATAAATCAACTGCCTATTTATAAATACATTTATGTTATGTTTCAAAAAGGCATCAACCTGAAAAGTAGAAAAAATTATTAAATTATAAATGCATTAATTTATTTGCCACAAACAAATACTAAATAACATAAATCATTATGATAAATAATAGCTATATTTTAGAATACCAACAACATATCTTTATAAAAAGAGCAAGTATTTTTTTTAACCATAAGTAACCTCCTAGATACCAACTATACATTTGTTAGCCTTTCAGCCACTGACAGGTGGTCACTAAGTCATAAATGATAACAGCAATGTAAAGTAAAATATTATAATTTTTAATTTTATTTGGAAAATCAAATTTCATATTCAAAATATATTAAAGTGGCAACTAACCAGACAAAGTTGCAGAAATTTTTAGTAGAATTCAAATTTTTATTGTCATGAATTTATTGTAATTTAATAATTTATATACATATTAAGAATAAATAACACAGAAAATAGTCATTTGAAGAAAAATTATAATTTTTTTTTTTGATATTGTTACTATATAAGAGTTGATTGACACTAAATAAATAAATCGAAATTTCTATTAAAGAAATTTAATTAAAACAAAATTAAATAAAATTATTCATTACGATAAGACTGTTGGCAAGAAAAAGATATGATAATGCTTATGAGTTTTTCTAACATCAGCTAGATAACAGTTTTAACGCATAATAGATTGAAACAAATTGGGTATGAATAAAAAGCTAACACTCCAGAAATTAAAATTTTTAGCATGAAATGTGAATTTTCTAATGAATTTTAGGTTTTCTGTACTTAGAGGGTTACTCTGGTATCTTGTTTCACTAAATAAAATAAAGAAATTAAAAGGCAAGAACACAATAATACTGTACTTCTTTTTTATTTTTAATATGACGCTTAGATTAATGGCTCATCTAAGAAAGTTCACCTCACTTTGAAATATTAAATGATTACTTTAAATTATTCAAATTAATTATATATTAATTTTCAAGAAAAAACTACACCATTGGATTTTTATCAGATTAGTTAGATAATATAAAAATGCTCAAAAAACTAAGAATAATAATAAGTAAAATACAACAGAAATAGGAAGTGAAAAAAAAAAAAAAAAACAATTGCNCATACCAGAAAGAATTTCCTAAAAAAAAAAAAAAAAACAATTGCAAAAAAAAAAAATCTGGAGGTACAAAATAATGTTTCAAAATAAGCTGATAAATATTTGGATTAATTTTGAACAAATATTACTTTTTCACTTTAACAGGATGTCAAAAATTAAAACTGTGACGACAATCACTAAGAAAAAAAATTCCCTGACATTTCCAGACTAATTTCATCAAATTTTCCTGATTTTTGTAATTGATGAAAGAAACTTTATTTTCAATTATGCCTTGTTCTTAAATATAAAACATATTACAAAATTCATACTTGCTATCAGAACTGTATTAATTTTAAAAAGTTCTTTCAAAACCAATTTTGTAGTAAAATCTTGTCTTAAAATCGAAGTTAAATCCTTTTCCCTAACTTTTTGGCCATTTTAATTCCTTTAATTTTTTTTCAGATTGATGAAATTCTCAAACTTTTCCATATTTTCTGTTTTGTGACTGTCCCAAATTCAATTTGTTTTCACAAATTTTTTTGTGAGATATTAACAAGCCACCTTCAAATTTTAAATAAAATTTTACAATAATTTTATTTACAATAAAACAAGAATGTCTCACATTAAAACAAATTTTAAAAAAATTATGTAAGTCTGTGATTTGCTCTTTCAGCAAATGTAAATCTTACCTTTGCCTTCATTTTTTCATTTTCTATTAATTCCATTTCTCCTAACTTAGCCACTGAGTCCAAAGTGATTCGTGAACCAAAAACTTTAACTTTATCAGCATCCATAGGTGTATTAGCTATGAGGATTCTTGCATTTTCTACAACTTTAGGTTGACCAACACCAGGTTTTTTATCCAAAAGAAAGCCTATGAAAAGTATACATAAGATTTACTTAAAAAAATAAATAAATAAAATATAATTTTTATTGAAAATAGATTTCAAAACAATGTTAACTATTTTTCATATTTCATAATAGCATCATACACACTCACAAACATAATTTATTATTTTGTTATTCCTACAGCTATTGATGTTGACAAGAAATTTTTTAAAGAGCTTCCTCTTACTAAAATAAACAGAAGTATGAAGGTTTCATAGAAATAAACCTATTTTAGTGATATGTATGTAGTGAAACCTCTGCGTTGCGACCTCCGTTATTTTATGACCACTTTAGGGAGGCATAGAGTTTTCCCCATAGATTTAGTGTTGAAGAAAACATTTAACCCTTTGTAATTCAAACTCTGATTTAAGAAATATTTACCCGGATGTTAGAATACATCATATTAAGAGTGTAAAAAATAATGAAAAAATTAAGACCTTAAAATTAAAAATTTATTGATAAAAAGCATTTGTTGAACATCTCCAATATCGTGAAAAATAGCACTAAAATTCCAATATAATTCAAACTTCATGTGAAAAATTTTGAAATTGTTGTTTTTATGGTAACAAAGTCTCACACCACATCTTTCAATCCCTCCTTAGCCAAATATACAATCAAGGGGATTGTTGTAAAAAAATTGTATATCCTGCAATTATGTCGTGGAACAATTCTTGCTTAACGCATTATAATATTGGTAGCTGCACCAAGACTTGGTTCACCCGAGTTTGCAATATTTTCTTTACCTGAACTTGGTTTGATTTTACAGGTAAATCCAGCTCATTATAGGATTGAATTTTCAGATATGTAACGCGGCATGTTGCAGATATGTAACGAGGTGATACAAAGGGTTAAGAGAGACCATCACAAACCTTTATTCTGCACCAAATGTGAAAAAAAGTTCAAATAAGGAAACATGAAAAAATATCAAGACAAAAAATATTAAAAAAACAAATTAGATTTAAATGTATTCAAAATATTTATGAGTGGATCTTATATAGACAGCTCTTTTTGACAATCGAAAATCTCATGTTCCAGACAGAGTGTACTAAAGACGATATCAATGATTTATTCTTAGAGCTGAAAGTTAAATTAAAAAAAGAAGTTATTTTTAGAAAAAACTAAGCATTTAAAACAAACAAAAAACATAATTGCTTACTTATTTAAAATAGTTCTATCATTCATAAGCAAATTTACTTTTACACATAATTATATCAGTAAAGGTAATTTTTATTGAGGCTAAATTTTATTCCTCAATCCGGTTTTCACGATGCCAGCCAACACAAGTGGAATTTCCGCATCAAAAAAATGACGCTGAAATAAAAGTTATTATCGCTTTTACTGTGGAACAGAGAGTGGTCGCTCCTGAGAGGTTTCACTGTGTGTGCATACCTATATATACACACAGAATTTAACACTTTAATTTCAAACAATTCTCAAAATTTGCATTATACTCGATTAAGTTAGTTTTTAACATCTTAACGCGGTATAGCCATTTCTGGCTCTTGCGCCAAAAACACTAAATAACTAACTAAATTTAACATCTTAACAACCTTTTTCACAAAAATTTACTGTTATTTTTTCAATGGCATTATCACGATATGCTGCCCAGCAGTTTCAATTTCAAAATATCTTATAAGCCATTCCACTGTTGTGATACATTCAAATTAGTAATATTGCAGTAAAAAAAAAAAACTTTGTAATAAAGTATACTAGTCAAAAATACCTTTGCGAAGTAAGTACATAAAGTTTTATTCATATTCACATATAAAAAAAAATCTGAATAGAAAATTACCATTTCTGATGCGTAACTACTCAATAGTAAAATTTACAATTACAGCTAATTGGAAAAATTTGAACTAGTTAAAAGGAATAAATCTATAATGTTCACCTAACCTTACAAATTATTCTAAATTAATTTTCATAGCATGTACTAAATAATAAAATAAGTCATTTTGAGGGAGAAATCAAAAATGAAATCATTGGAAGAAAATGTGTTGTATTTCACTACCTTTCAAATTGAATATAAACTTATGTTATCATGAGATAGTAAGGGTCTCTCAATTAAACTTCTCATAACTTTAATAGTTTGAACTTGTGATTAGTATGAAATGAAAATACATTTCCTGATACTTAAGCTTTAATCTCTATAGCATAATAATCAAAATTTAAGGAATAAAAATAAAAATTACGCTTTTAAGACTACAATTGAAAGTTTAATTCTTCACACATAATTTGTTAACTAAAACCATAGTTACAATATGCAGAAATATGACAAAAAGAAAAACCAAAATTACCATCATCCAAAAATGAATCTGTCAAAGTTCCACCAAGTTTTTTAATGAACTGAATAGCTTTCAAATCAGTAGATTTATTTAATCGTTTGACAGCAGCAATTGCAATCTTAGCAAAGAAATCTTTGTGTTTATTTAGAATCTTTGAGCTCAAAGTCGTACGAGCAATGTTCATTAGATCTTGATCAAATTGTTCAGCATCAGCACTATAAAGACAAAGAAAATGGGGAATCTGTTAATTAAATTGATATAACCAAAAAACCTACAAATGAAAAACTTTGCAGAAGAGTGGGTTAAGAAATAATGAATCTTTTTTTTATGATATTGTTCTTAAAATTAATTTCTTTTTAATTAAAAAATGCAGTTTTAGTTTGAGAAACACAACTGATCATTCGTTTCAAAATGCCAATTATTCTTTAAAGTTTCCCCCAAGAAATATATAACTTAAACAAATAAATAAATTTTCACAGAAACTTTTTAACTCGGACAAAGAAAAACATTGAAGGAGATAATTAAGATAGCCACAAGCACTCATGAAAAAGTTTCTGATTTTTCCAGACAATTTTGACCGATTTTTGTACCCAGTGATAAAAATTTTATCATTTAACATTTAGCTATGCCTCATATTTACACATAAAATGTATTACAATAAACTAATAATCTTATTAAAGTTGAAAATAAATTTATATATANTATATATATATATATGACTATTTTCTTTAGAAAAACATTGGACTTTCTGGTACCCCAAACTTACAATTTATTTTTCCTAACTACTCAATCAATTAAATTTAACTCCCAGACATTTTCAAATTGATAAATCTCCCTGATTTAACCTTGTTGTAAATTTATCATGCACAAAGGAATTTTGTCTTAAACCTGACTTTTATCAAAGTCATTCAACCCTTTTTACAAGTTATTACTCCAGTCATTTCATTAGGTTAAGTAGTTCAAAATTCCATTAACCATGTTATTCCAATTACATTAAACCACTGTCCATGTGCGATTTCAATTAATAATATTTTTTATTTCAGATGGAATTGCTTAATTGATTCAAAAGTATCGCATAAACAAGATGCAGCTACAAAAATTAAGCCCTAAAAGTTACATTTTAGAACTATGAGCTAAAACATATATTTTTTTATGATCACTATAATAATATAAGAAAGCAATTTTTTTGAAAAAAGGGAAGAATGTTACAATAAACATAAGTAAAGGAATGTTACAATGAACATATTTTCCTGTTAAGAAAAACAAAGTACTGAATTTAGAGTGGTAATGTGCTTTAAGCATCTTTTTTTTTTTAAAAAACTAACTAAAATGTTACTTTTGTTAATGTTGCACTTCAGTCATTTTTCAAGAAACAATTATTACAAGGTTAAGAAAAGACTTTGGCAGTATAGGATTCAAGTAACCATTCGCGACTGCATTATAAAACATAGGTTATAATTTCATAGTCTTAGAGGAATCCAAGACTTGGTGACATATTTCAATAAATATGGAAAATATTCTTGAAAGAAAGAGGAAAAAAAAAAAAATGCTAAACGACATTGCAAGAGTATTTAATTTGACCATTAAAAATAGCACGTCTTATGATGATATGCTCTTGACAAATCAAATTTGAGATAAAGAATTTTTACCCTTGTTTTGACTGTAGAATAAAAATTGACAGCAAATAACTATATTTATTATTCTTTCACCTCATTTTTCAAATGGAAATAGATTTATATTTGTTCTGATTTTCATACATTTTTATTAATTTTCATCGCCTGTTAATTAGAAAACAAGTAAAAAGGAAGTTGTGCAACGTCATTTCAAGTATTGGCAATGTTGATATACGTTTGTGCAAGGAGCTTGACATCCAATTGGCGTGTAACTAGACGCAAACACGCTTTGTCCTTAGATATAATGCTTTTCTTTCTTTCTTTTTTTTAAACTTGCAACAAAGTATAGATACATTTGTTTATGCTTACCTTCTATCATATGTAAAATTAGTCATAGCAGATTTTGCTTCTTTAGCTGCTTTTCTCCATCCAGATATTATAGTTTGTGGATGAAGTCTTACGGTTATCAATTTATCCGCTTCTTTTAGAAGTTCCGAAGCAAGAACAGTAACTGTTGTTGTACCATCCCCCACCTCGTTATCTTGAACCTTTGACATTTCTAGAAAAAAAAAATTATTCTATTACTTAGCTTCAGAGGTTATTTTTTGAATTTCATTACAAGAATAAAAGATTATGCATATAATGGACACACACACACATATATATAAATACATGCATACACAAAAGGATAAAAATAGCAAAATTATAATAAAAAATGCTGTCTCATCAACAGTACATACCTCTGAACTAAACAAGTATAGGGTTTTGTTATAACAATGTGGCAAACAGCATAAGCAGTAAGCCACGTTGCTATCATGAGACCCTATACTTGTTTAGTTCAGAGGTAAGCATTATTGTTGTTGGCTGCTGATGAATTACAAATTATTATAATTTCGCTATTTACATCCTTTTACATATATATCTGCTCTAATTTATGTCGGCAGCTTTTGCGTGTGTATTTTGGAGTATAATAGCTTCTTAAAATATTTCTTAATACTTTGCAAACTTTACTTCACTATATATATATTCAAAATTTTCCTGAATACTACTCAGACGAGGTAAAAAGGAATTAAGAAATAAAACACATGATTATCTGCAACATATTGATTAAAAATCAGATTTCTTAGTTATTAGATGACAAAACTAGAATAGAATATTTAATTTTTATTTCTAGGTATAAATCTGCAATCAGTAATAAACATAAAATAAATTTTAAAAACTGATTCTAAATATAATTGAAATATTTGAGAAAAAAATTGTGTCTAAAACCTGAATAATAATTCTATTAAATATGCATTTAATAAAATAATTGAAAATTATCTAAATATTAAAATGAACTAGCTGGTAAAATGAATTTTTCTTCAATTTTAGGAAAAACATACACATTTATTGGTATACAATTTATCATAAGCTTTCATATATAATCAGGGACGGTCCATGCCGATTTTCAAGTGTAAGAAAAATTTTTTTATTACCCCCCATACATTAAGGATAATAAATATGTACAGAGTATAAATAATTTTATTTTATAAAAATGCGGTACAAACTATTTAAATAACGTACTTTTATTTAAATTCGATAGAGCAAAAAAAAAATATCCTACCCTAAGCAATTTCAGAAGACCAATCAAAATATTAGATACCTATATCATATTTACATTTTTATCTACTTATCATTTATAACTGGTATTCTCAAATGAAAAGCAAGTATTGTTTGTATACAATTATAAACCTTACCTTTTTATATTTTGAGATTATTTTATTTGATAATGATAAAAAAATTAGATAATAAGGTATTGTTTCCCTATATATTTCAACATAGCAAAATACGAAATATGAAATATTGTAAAAAAATTCAAAATTGCTCAAATGTTGGATTATTCAGGTGTATACAAGCGTTTCATTTAAAAGTTTCTTGCTTGTTTACGTAAATTCATTGCTAAATATTTATTACATACATTAGTACATTTCTTCATTTCATACATCCACCCCTAGAGATAATTTTTTACATGGATTGTCTTGATAATATAGCATGTCTTGAATAATTGTGTGACAGTTGATGAATAAATGTAGGACTATCACCCATCATAATTGACTGACCTTACACAGTCTGATTTCCATACATTCTGAGCATTATAACATTTCAAAAATGCCTGTTCTTGAAATTTTGCTCCAAAATACAGATAATTTTTATCAATCCGACATTTAAATTTTGCAGGCTAGATAGCAAAAGATTTTTTAAAATATTAGACTAGATATTTCTTTAGATATTAGAGCAGTCTTAAAAGCAGCTTCCTGACTTGTGGTCAACCAAGAGCTATGAACATGGGTGCAAGTTGGAAAAAATGCCAAGACTGAAAATTTTTTGACTGAAATACCTAACATAAACAATACCCCCTCGACATATGCAAACTATCAAAGAAAGCTTTATCATAATACATCAAATTTAAATACTGTACAAAAAATATTTATTCATCTGTCTTTTGATAAAATAACAACAGGACATAAAAAAGTAGACCAATAACGTAGACCTAAAAAATATTTTTAAGGACAGAAAAAAAATATTTCCAATTTCCGTCTTCGAGTCAGTCTTGTTTCCGTCTTACTTCTGTCCGCGGACATTTTCGAAAGACGGAAATCCGTCCTGGGGACGGAAGACTTGCACCCATGGCTATGAAGAATAGGTTGTTCACTCAACAAGACACAACCACAAAAATGGATAAATGATTAAAATAGTTCAAACAGAATGTGGGCAAAAATTCACATATAGTATAAAATCAGGTAAATGAACTTATATGGCAAACTTAATTAAAAAGAAATATATTAATGCAAGTACAGTTAGCTCAGGATAGCGTATACATTTTCGTAACCATATAATATGGGTCTTTCTGTTACATATCATCACAGCTGAAATTTTAAAAAAATCCGTAAACTAGACAGAATACAATCAAAATTTAATCAATTAGTATATTCAACAAATCTTCAGAATAGGCTCCTAACTGATCAAGTGCTACTGTTCACTCATCAAAAGACAGCCACAAAAAGTATGATGGTTACCATTTCAAAAATTTATGTACATATGTTATGTACAATCAAATGAATAAGCACAAACCTAATGCGCGAAGAGTATCGTAGTATTGCAACATAAAGAGTATCATATTGTTGCTTGACAGCCTGTAGTTAGCTCAGGATAGCGTATACATTTCCATAACCATATAATAAGAGTCTTTCTGCTACATATCATCATAGCCAAAATTTTATTTTATAAAAATCTGTAAACTAGACAGAATACAATCAAAATTGAATCAATTAGTATATTATTCAACTAATTTTCAATATAGACTTTTAATTGATCAAGTGCTACTGTTCACTCATCAGGAGACAGCCACAAAAAATATGATGTTTCCCAGTACAAAAATTTATAACAAATGTTATGTACAATGAAATGAATAAGTACAAACGTAACATGAAAAGCATTGTATTATTGCAACGTAAAGAGTATTGTATTGTTGTTTGAGAGACTGTACAGTTAACTCAGGATAGCGTATACATTTTCGTAACCATATCATGTGGGTCTTTCTGTTACATATCATCAAAGCTGAAATTTTATAAAAATCTGTAAACTAGACAGAATACAATCAAAACTTAGTTAATTAGAGTATGATTGGACTAATATTCAAGATAGGCTCGTAATTGGCAAAGTTAGCTCAGGATAGCGTATACATATTCGTAACCATTTCACATGGGTCTTTCTGTTTCAGATCATCATAGCCAAAACGAAAGACGAAAATCAATCCGAAAATTAGAACGTAACAAAAATAAACAGCAATCCAAGATTGCAGTCATTACTTATGTCTGTAACACAGCGTATATTGACAGGTGAAGCATCATGCCAGACAAAGAATACCCGAAGATTACCACAAAAATTAAATAAACAATTTATACTATAAATATAGCTCTTCAAATAAAGTTTGAAGTGGACAAAAGAAAAAGCAACTGCAATTAATCAAACAAATAGCAATTGTATATTAAAGCCAGAATACATTTCAATATTAATAGTAAAAATATACTGATCTTTAAAGCGTATTTACTATTTAGTTCAGACAACTGGATTTATAGAAAAAGTGCCTAACGAGAATATCACTAATGATATTACTAGTAAAAGCTAATTAGTTGAAAATATCACAGAAAGAATAAAAAGTTGCATTAAACTTCTTTTTCAAAATTAAACATATGTAGAAATGACACTATGTCATTCAACAACAGCAGAAATAAACAAATAAATAAAATAAAATTATTGTTTAAGGTATACTTAGTTTTTATCAGAAAAATTTGTTAACAAGATATTAATATTAATGCATTTATTAAATAGAGATATGATGGGGATCCCACAAATAATTTTCAAAATTCTGTTCAAAACTTTACTGTCATTTCAAACAGATAATTGTTATGATTGTTTTAGCAAGGAATTTGTTATATGCTTCACTTTGTATGTTACAGGAAACAGGTGGATACTTTTTGGTTGGTGGACTTACTAGTGAATAGGATAAAGAAAGTAACTTTATAATGAAACCCTTAGTGCAAGCTCAAGATAGCAAAAATATATTTGTAAAACCATACTACTTTGTTCTTTATATTTTAGTCAAAGGAGAAAAATAACTAATTATTGAAATGGAAATTTTCAACTTTCAAAGTATATATAAAATACATATAGTGTAGACACCACAAACAATAAACTGAATTCAAAAGAAGAATTTAAACATAAAAAAAATCTATGAAAATATGATGCAACAAATATATCAATGCTCAGGATAGCGTATATATCTTGTTAACCATATCATATTGATCTTTCAGTTTTCTATCATCATAGCAGATATTCTAGAAAATTATCAAATAAAGCTAAAATTTATTTAAGACACATTCTGCTCTACCTAAACCCTATTAGTGAGTAGTGTCGTTAGGTTTAGAATTATATATATTATTTCAATGGAAAATAGTTATTTCTTTTTAAAAAAAAATTCTTTAAACTAGATTTTAAAGAACATAGCCTTACAAAACTACTTAAGTCAAAATAAAATTTCTAACATACTTGCACTGATATTATTAATTAATCTTAAATTACCAGAATAGCATTAAAAAAGTCTTTATGAGCAAGTGAACTGCACAAAGACATAACTACGTAATTAAAACCAAAGTATCAGCTTAGGATACTATATTATATTTCAACAATTTAAAATGGTCTCGTGTTTCCTACCTACCTCATCTTAAAGAGAGAAAAAAGTAAATAAATAAATAACAGTCCAACTGTAGAAACAATATATTTTTTAAAAAAAATATACAAAAATAAACAAGACTCAGTACAAACGCCATTAACCATATAATATAGGTCTTTGTTTTCTATCGTCACAGTAGTAATTAAAAAAACATATATATCAAAAATTAATTCATAAGACAACATTCTATAATATCTAAAAATAAATAGCAGACTTAAGTTCAAAAATCAATCAATCAAAAAAAATTTATTCACTTCCATTTTTTAGTACTTAATTCAAAATAACATTGCCAAAATAAGTTATTTGTATTGCATTATTTCCCATGCATGAAAAATTAATAAGGCTCAGGATAGCGTATACATTGATAACCATATTTAGTTGGTCTTTTTTTATTTTGTCATCATAGCCAAAATAAATACATAAAAAACAAAGGAATAATATTAATAAAGCAAAGAAATAAAGTAGGCAAGGTTGATAACAAAATCATTACTTCACAATATCCATGTTGAGGTTTTTTAAACTTTAGAATAAGGCTCAAATTTAGCAAAAGTGCAGATTTGTATTGCTGGGGAAAAAAAAAAAAAAAAAAAAAAAAAAAAAAAAAAAAAAACAGAATCATAACTAGTACGAACATTAGCAAAATGCTTCAAACTGCTAGCAATAATGAGGAACTTACTGTCTTTATTAAAAATTTACACAAAATGACAGCAATCCAATTGCTTCAAATCCAGAATTTCTAAGTATTTTTGCATTAATCTTGAACACTAAGGGTGCACAACCTTTTCAATAACCTTCAACCTCTTGGCCATGGAATAAAAGTGTAAAAAAATAAATATTTTCATTAAAGAATATTTAAAAAGGTTTAAACAAAACCATTGTAGTAAATTTTTTTTTCTGGCATTAGACTTCAGACATTATTTCTATTTCTTGAATTATTAGAGGTTTTATAAATTTAAATAGGAAACTTTTTTTTTGTTTTTACCTAAAAAATAAAAAGAAATCATGTGGCTGGCAGAAAGTAGGTTGTGCACCCCTATTTAAGACCATAATGTATTTTTACTTGTCATACATTTTCAATTCATTATTTTAGATTAACCCCCCGCTTTGTCGCTTCAATGTTAAGTGTCCCACATTTGTCATATCTATCACTCCCAACAGCAGGAACTCAAACTGCATGGAAAAATTACTTGCAAATAATAGACCCGTAAGAAGTATGGTTTCACTGTAGCATGTATATACATGTTTTCAGTTGATTATCACCTTTTTTAAAACACTTTGTAAAACTCTAAATCCTCAAAATTCTGATTAATTAAAAAAGAAAGTTAGGAAAATTTACATTACATAAAATTGACAAGAAAAACCGAGTCTGGATAAAATATGTTTCTCTTTTCTTTTTTTAAACTTTAATACGCATTTTAGATTTTTCCATTTAAATCATCTCCAACCAAATCTAAAAACATTGTAACTTTTTTAATGTTACAAATATAATTCATAAGTTTAGTACAACATCAATAAAGCAAAACAATGATAATTTGAAAAATCAAATAAGACAAGTGTAATGAAAGCAAATATTGTCATTGCTATCTACAACAAATACATATAAAACCAATAAGTACAATCAAAATAAATTTAAATAGCTTTTATAGCATGTCAAGTAACAAACTCAATGCTTACCAACTAAGATTTTTGCAGCTGGGTTATCAACACCAATTGATCTAAGAATTGTAGCACCATCATTGGTTAGTTCAATAGTACTTCCCATTCTTTTTGAATCCGAAACAAGAATTTTATCCTACAAGGATGATAAAAGTTGAATAAAAATATGCTTTAAATATCTTTTAACATTGAGAATTATAAATGTTATATGTATGTTATTGAATATAAATGACAAAAAAAGCTATAAAAACTTAAAAATTTCCTAATTTTAATTTTACATCTCGGAACAAGGCTTAATCTTTAAAGAATTGATGTAAGGTAGATTTACCATTCCTTTGGGACCTAAAGTTGTTTTTAGAAGATCACCAATTGCAATTGATCCAAAGATGCATGATAATCTGGCATCTTCTCTTTTTTCTTCTTCTGTGTCTCCTTTCAAAACACGTACTGGGTTTAATGATGTCTGAAATTCAAATATACAGATTTAGAAAATTGTTTTATACATCACATATTAACTGATTCAGGAATTTTTGTCAATATACAAGTTTACTACAACACTGTTTTCTCGAATCTTACCAACTATTATATACCAATAAAAATTTAAAAGCATTTTTCAGCAAGTCTAATATGACTGTTTACACCCCTTTCAAAAAAGTAAGATCACAATACAAAATGCTGAACATTAGAACCATACTGTATTCAGTGTTCTCCCTAAGTGTTTTCGGAAGCGTGGCCGATCTCGCTTGCAGTAAGATTGTTATAAAAGTGCCCTCCTTGAATTCATTGTAAAAATAAGCCATCATCTCTAAAGAACACTGCTTTTTGATTTTTTCATGAAAAGGTTTTTTTAACTACCTGTTTTAATAAAAGTCTATTTCAGATTTATTTATTGAAAATTATTTAGCTTCAACTTCTAATTTTATTCCTTCATTTTAGTAAGATTTTTATGTTGTCCAGTAATATAGTTAAAATTGGCATGATATTCGGCTCCAAATAGGGAACCGATTATTCGGAACCATCGCTACAAAAAACCGTTTTTTAATTGTTAAACCAAACTAAAAAAATATATATATTTGGAAATAATCTTAAAAAGAAAAAACGATGACGTAATACAATAAATGATTATTTCCAAAATGATGGTAAGGTAAACATCTTTCAAAAAAGAAAGAAAAATCCTAAAATCTTATGAGGAAAAAAAGAATAGTGGGAAAATTTATCGAATTTCGTTCCGGTTTTCTGATATCCGGATAGCGGGTTCTGTACTGTATCTATTGGGGAATTAATATAATACATAAGATATTTATAGGGGAGGACAGGCACAAAATAGTATAGAGGGTAATTAAAAATTCTAGAAAAATTCAATTACATAATATTACATATTATAAATTTTCACAGTGGTCAGTCAGTCAGTGCCCTTTCAAAACCCAAAGCGTCCACATTACAGTGAGGAAAAACCCATTTTTTACTCCTGAGGATAACTCTGCTGTATTAGCAGCTTGTGTTTAAAGGGAATCTTCCCGTATTAGTAAACACTTGCACTTTTCCTTAACTATTCTCCGCTTTTTAGAATAAAAATTTCCTGACAATTCTAGGTTTTCCATGGCCCGTGGGAACCCAGTAACAGCATTGCAGAATATCTAGTGCTAAAGTTATTTCTAAACATGAGGATACAATTATCTTAAATAAGAATATAACCACAAATTTAAATCTTGCAGCGTCTATTCTTCCTTAAGGATATTTTTTTGTAAGTTATCAGAACACATCACTTGTATAACAAAGCTTTTTGTATTATTAACTTCATCAAATAAGACACTTAACTGAAAGTTTTATTTAATTGGGATGCAGAAACACTATTATAGCATTTCTCAATAGTCATACAGATACTTTATCATTGTAATATAAGAATATGAATTATAATACTACTTATTCCACAAGTTGCATAATTTTTTCAGTAATAAAACAAGCTTCAATACATATTCTAATTTTATTAAATGAACACTCAATATTTAAAAGATCACTTCATATTTATGTAAAAAGTAAATTATTCTCATGCAAAAAATAAAACAAAAGCAATTATGAGCAGAACGGGAAGATTTGGCAACTTCGGGACAGCCACCCACGAGAGACTAATAAAAGACATCACAGAAAGGGACCAATTTGAAGGGTATAACTTGCAGCCACCCCTAAGCAAACATCTACATGATTTGATTTCATCAAAAAAAAAAAATTAACAGTTTAAAATCAATTTAATATCATGGCAATTGTAGTTGGCGTAACAGATCACAATATAAAACATCCCCACAGATAGAATGTATGAATTATTAATTACTTTTGTGTATGAAATATTAAACTAGAAGTTCAAATTTAAAGTCACATTTAGGGTTTTCGATTTGTTATTAATGATGCTGTGTAACAAAGAACCTATAGGTTAAAATAAACAGCCTCAAACTATATTTACAATCACAATATTGATTAGAAACGATAAAAAAATATGTCTTAGCAGTTTAAGAAATCAATTAGCAGTTTAAGAAATCAAACATAAAAAAAAAACGCAAAAAAAAAAAATTCTCAGGTGTGGCTCAATTTTTTTTTTTTTTTAACCACACTATACCTTACATACTGTAAGCTTTATAACTACTATATTCACCCTAATAGACACAAAAATTTCGCATCTATGATTTTCAAGAGCCCATTTATATGCAAAATTAGTTGAGTTAATAATTAACAGGAAAAAAGCTTTTATTAAATTAGAACCTTAACTATATAGTATGTTAGTCATTATTATAAGGTCAATATCATGTAAAAATTTTAAGCAATTTTTAAAACACATAAAATAGCATTAATTTAAATGGGTGTGATTTTGTATTAGAAATTTCTTCTGTCATGTCAATGGAGCCGGCACACGTGCAAATAAAAATAAAAAACTTGACTGTTTCTGGTCAAGAAAAATTTCTGCAAAGCTAAAGCACGGTATTGAACAGAAAGAATAATACTTTTATGAGATATTGTAAGACAATTCACGTACCATTTTTATTTTAAGCTGTTTTCACAAATGAGTAACAATTTTCAATAAAAGTAAACACATGAAAGAATTCTGAGTTTCATAGATATAAGGAACCCGTAAGAGGAAGTGAAGGTCCCATCTTCCCGGTGGCAACGAAAAATGGGTTACTTTTTTCAATCATCGTGGCGACTTTTTCTATCTGTTAAATCGCCACATCGCCAGTGTTCGTGTGCATATTTGTTGTGATGGCTTGCTAATTTCACGTGTAGAAATTTTGCTGCATGGGATAGATAACTAATCTGTTGTGGTAAATAAAAATTATTAATATATTAATTTTATGT